CCTGGTCCTTCTCTTCGTTAAACTAGACATACCCAATTCTAGCAACCGTTCCTGATATGTTTTTGAGTGTGAAACTCAAAAGGCGTCTGGAAGCCCCTTTTCCCACAACTCAAGGGCCGCCTAAAGTCGTTTGCTGACATGGGGCACCTATAGAAATTATATAAGTAAAAATGAATAAAATGTGTTTTATTAATAGGAATGTTTTTTTGTCAGTGGTGGTTCATTTGATCAGAGCTTAGGATAGCTAGACTGTTGAAGAATTTAAATTGGGGGGGGAGACAGATTGGTTATGCAGATCATCCATGAGACAGTACCTTATCAATTACAAGCACTTTCATCTGATGAAGCTCCCACGAAGCCTTTTGGTAAAATACATTAATCAGAAAAGGTACTATCAAACTCCTGATTTTCGCCATCATATACTAACATTTCCTACAGTGCCTCTGTGTGGGTATTGGCCATCTTTCCAAGCCACACTATCTTCACATTCACTGCTGCTGGAAAGTATACATTTAATCCTTATTACCAAAACACAATACTGTGAAATCTCCTAGACCAAAAATCCCAGATGCCAACTAAGTCCTGGAGCATAGAAGAAGCATCTTTCTCAACCTTGACAATTTTAAGGCATGTGGACTTCAACTCCCAGAATTCCACAGCCAGCAATGCTGGCTGTGGAATTCTGGGAGTTGAAGTCCACATGCCTTAAAATTGTCAAGGTTGAGAAACACTGGTATAAACCAAGTGAGGATAAAGCATATGGTCCTCAGTTGAATTTCAGCCAAACAGGAAAACAACTCTGCAGATGTTAAGAGGGTCTGTCATACCTACCTTACTCAGAAGTAGATAAGCCACAAAAAACCCTAAAAAGAAACACTGCATTCAAGTAACTGACTGATATTACAGTGGGCCATACAATCAAGAGAAAAGACTAATTTATTATGAATTCTATACTGACCGGGCTGACAAAGCAAAAATCCTCACTCCTCAGGCACGGATCTAAATTCACAGAACATTCCCCAAACTCAAACACAACCTTTTCCCTCCCCTCCCCACTGCACCCCACACCTTCTCCACACAACAGACCACAATGGACTGACCGCATCTACATATAACAGACCACAATGGACTGACCGCCTTTCAAACACGCTGCTCCCCACACTCCCAATTTCATACTTTCCTTTCTCAACACACTTTCATAGCCATCCTAACCTCATAAACTCCCACCCAAGCAGCCAATACATCATCCACAAATGTTTTGTGTTGTTTTTTTTTTTCCTCCTAAGGGTGACCATTTCGGAAGACGCTTTTCGGATAAACCCTGATCACTCCCCCCCCCTTCTCATCAGAAGCAAACCCTCCCCTAAGAAGACCTAGTTCAGGTTAGTTCCGTGAGATCTGGCCATCTCCCACTCCCACTATTAAACGTAGGGCCTCCACAAAGACAATTTCATACCATTTCATAGGTCTAGGCGTGGAAAGCACACCTCTCCATTCAGAAAATAAAAAGAGCATTACACCAGCAAGGCACCTTCAGTAAATAAAAGAGTTGGCAACCTCTGGCCAGATGTCAGCTTCAACTCAAGAGCCCAAAGACAACTGCCCGTCAGAACAAGGCAGGGTCATCGCCAGGGTTAGCTGGAACACAAATCGGATGCAATTTCTCTCCCACCATCACCGGCACCACTTCCGGGTGTGAATGCTGCATGCCCCCGCCACACCACCACCACCGCACCCCGCAGATCCTCCGGTCCCAACCCAGGGTGTGGATACGCCGGCCCTCCAAACATCCTACTCCTCAAGGCGAGGCACCCTAAGAGGTCTCGCTCTCCTTCCGAGAATGCAGGCGCGGAGCTTCATCCCCCCCCCCCACACTCCTCCTCCTCCCTCTGGCTGCAAAGCGAAAGAGAAAGCGGGCGGGGTGTGGGAAGAGGTCCGTCCAGGAAAAAGAAACGGAAAGGCAAAAAAGAGAAGCCGGGCGAAAAGTCACACCCTCCGGCCCGCCGGGGGCTTGCGGAGAGGAGCCCAAGTTTCCATCCCGCTCCTTCGGGGGAGGCCGAGCGGGGCAGCCGGGCAGCCTGCCTTGCAGAGCGCCGGCCGGCCGGCCCGCTGCCTCCCATCCATCCATCCTTCCGTCTTGCAGCCCCGCCATCTCCGCGCGGGCAAGGATACTGTTGGGGCGGCGGGGCCTGCAGCGCCCTGATGCTGGCGGGGTGAGGCGGCGGCGGAGGACCCGCAGCGGCGGCGGCCGCGGGGGCAGCAGGAGGGGTTCCGGCCACGGCAGCCGGCGGCGGAGGGACGGGAGCAGCGGTAGGAGGCGCCCCGCTGGCCGCAGCCGCCGCCGCCGGGGAAGGGGCCGCTCCGGCCGCCGCCACCGGAGGGAGAGGCGGCGGCGGCGGCCCGCCCGGCCCGGCTCCCACGCCGCTCCCGGGGGAGGGCGCCGTTCCCGCCGCCGCCGCTCCCCCCGCCGCTGCCGCCGCCGCCGCCGCCGAGCCGGGCTTGAGGGCCGCCTTCTGCGGTAAACTCATGGCCAAGCGGAGCCACCACCAGGCCGGGGGCGGCGGCGGCGGCGGGGCGGGGGGCGGGGAGCGGCGGGGCGGGGGCAGCCCGGCGGGCCAGCACCCCCGGCCGGTCTCCGTGACAACGCGGCCGGCCTCCTCCTCCTCTCCTCCTCCTCCTCCTCCTCTCCCGCCTCCTCCTCAGGCCGGGGCGAGCGGGGCCGGTCAGGCGGCGCCGCCGCTCATGGGGCCGCCTCCGCCGGCGGCTCTCGGCTCCTGTGGCCGGGCGAAGCGGCTCCGCGGCGTCTAGCGGCCGTCGGCTGAGCGATGCCGGCGGATTCTCCTCACGGACGGAGCGGAATATCCAACATGGCGCTGGCGGCCGCCTCCAGCAGTCCGGCAGGAGGACGACGACGAACGGCGGCGACGTCGGACGATCGGACGCTCGGCAAGCTCCGAAGACGTTCGGCTCCGGCCTCGGAAATGCCGGCGGCGCCTGCGCGCGCCGTTCGGCTCAGGCTGCGTTCGGGCAAGCTCGGAAAACGCTCGGCCGCCGGGCCCGAGCGGCTTCGGGGAACGCTCGCCCGCCCGCCCCGCCCCCCCGCGCCCCTTCGGTGGGATTCCGATACGCTCCGCTAGAGTTTATAATGGAGATCGTGGGAATGTAAAGCAGTAAACACGCATCGCCCAGGCTTCGAGGCGTGGGAACGCCTGCACAAGGGTTCAAATGTGTTTGTGTGTGTGTGTGTGTCTGTGAATGAATGAACGAACGAACGAAGGAGGAAGGAAGGAAGTAAAGGGAAAGGAAAGGAGAAGAAGGAACGAAGGCAGCCTGGCAGGCATTGGAGTGGTTCAGAGGAGCCCCTTCCATGATGTAGGGCAGTGTTTCCCAAACTTGACAATTTTAAGGCATGAGGACTTCAACTCCCAGAATTCCACAGCCAGCGTTGCTGGCTGTGGAATTCTGGGAGTTGAAGTCCTCATGCCTTAAAATTGTCAAGTTTGGGAAATACTGATGTAGGGCAAGGGTAGTCAACCTTGGCTCTTTTATGATTCGTGGACTTCAACTCCCAGAATCCCTGAGCCAGTATGGCTGGCTCAGGAATTCTGGGAGTTGAAGTCCACGAGTCATAAAAGAGCCAAGGTTGACTGCCCCTGATGTAGGGTTTCTCCGTAATTTATTTCCCTTAGAGGAACATCAGAAAATGAGCCCCCTGGGGTCCATTAAGAACATGCCAGACAGCCACCCCCTTGGATCACCCCTAAGCGAGGGGCTTCTCACCCCCAGCACTGCCCAGAGCAAACCCTCGGCTCACGTCCAGAAGGAAGGACTTCTCTCGTGCCCCTTCTCCTCCTCTGCAGAACAGAGAATAGACCTGAAGCTGCTCAGATTCACTCACTGCTTTTTGCCAATCACTCTCTAAATGTCCATTGGACAAATAGCATCTACAATACACACACACACACACACACATTGCTCGTAGAAGCACGAAGCCGAAAACACCAGCCTGAAGATGACGAATGGGACTTCGTCAAAACGTTGCCAAGGCACTTCCAATTTGACATGGGAGAAAACCCGAATAACCAAAGACCTACATATATACATATATGTATATACATATGTATATAGAAAGTTTTTCAGACAGACTGATCTGATTGCACCTTGGCATTTTTGACTGCTATACTGTAGTTCTACTTTTTATAATCACTTTTGCCTTGCAGCCCCCTAACTTTATCAGCAAAAAGAAATCTGAATACATATGTATATATATACATACTATACACACATACACACACACACATATATATACATATATATATATGTATATATTAACTTTTTGTTGGCAATCCAAATTTAACACATACATTGTGTGTGTGTGTGTATATATATATATATACATACGCATACATACACATACATACACATAAAACCCGAATAACCAAAGACCTATATATACACATACGTACATATACATACATATACACACATACACATACGTTTTAAGGAAAAACAAACACTTGGTAGTTTTCTGTCGCCTCCATACCCCCCCCCCCCAGGGCTGTCTTTTCAACAGGATCCTCCACAGGGATTGGACTTCCACTCCCATAATCCCCAGCCATGCCAGTACATTGACCTCAGGGTCCTGCTGGGCCAGATTTGCAGTTGTGCATCTTTCCCAGTTGGCCTCGCCCGTCTTCTGGCTAGGATTCTGCTCCCTGGAGAGCAGGTAGACGCCCCCCCCCTTCCCCATTTGGACCAGCAGGCACTGGCCGCCGCTCTCAGCTGCCCCCCCCCTCCCATTCCAAGGAGGGCAAATTTCTCAGAGCACTTTGTTCACTTCCCCTGCCGAAAGCAGATTGCATGGGAATTTCCTGTCCTGACCCGTGTCCAGAGAACTAAACAAACAGCCGGTCTTTCCGTCTGTTGGGCTGAACAAGACAAGGGCAACCGGGAGCACATTCGAAGAAAACCCACAAATAAAAAGCAAGGGAAACCAATCATTTCAAACCGTGATAAAAAGGCGTTTATTTCAAAATGACAGTGTTTTTTTTTTCCAAAGGCAGGGAAGAGTTTTAAAAAAAAAACAAAAAACAAAGAACAAATTGCCTGAACGGATCCATCCGGAATTGGGCTAGCACAAAATTCCTTGCAGATCTTTTTTCTCCCCCTTTTCTCAGAAGGCTCAACTTACTGAACCCCAGAGAATTAGGGGAAGGGGGACATTCCTTTCCTCCCCCTAGTGTGATGGGGGCAGAAGAGCTCTTTGGCTAACCCCTCCCCCCCCCAATTCCACCCCTTCAAACCACATCTGGAAGCCATTGGCGGCCTTCCCGGGGATCCGGTTACCGAAAGCAGATTGCACATCTGCACACAATTTGCCTTCCTGCAGGAGGGACACGGTGGAAAACCCCACATTTGCAGCACCCTAAAATCATCAGCTTTTCCCGCCTCCAGACCCCCCCCCCCCCCGCAGGGGCAACAGGCTCCCTTAGCAGTCATCCCGAACCACCTTTCCCCATTGTAGTTTGACTTCAGCTCTGAGCTACAGATGGATCCGATCTATCCTGGTTGGTTGGGGAAAGCTGATTTGGGGGGGGGGATATCTGCTTAAGCCCTCGTGGAGCCCCTTCCCAGAGGCGCTATCTGAGAAGGGGGGAGCTGCTTGCTGCCTGACTGCCAGTTTCTGCATAGGAGGTGCCAGCCTGCGCAAAAGGGGCTTAGCACAGGAATGCTTTGCTGGCATTAAAGCAAGCAGAGGACGCTTGTCGGGACTCTGGACCCTTCCAAAGACCAGGAACTGAAAACCTACTCAGAGTAATACCACCCCCCACCTCCCCATCTCCCAGACCCCTTATGGTGCTCCCACGGAGAACCCTGGAGCTGGTTTTGGGTGGGAGGGGGTAGTCTAGCGTGGCCCTTGCTTAACCCTGCAGCTCTGCCCTCATTCCTCTCTTTTCATTCAAAATGCAAAAACTCACGAGAAGTGAACTGAGAGACAGATCAGCCCTGTAGGCTTCTAAAGAGATCGGACGCCTTGCAAGGACCCTGACAGATCCCCCCTTCCCCATTCCCCTTTCAACGGGGCCCACGTACAAAATGCATCCAACGGAGAAAAAAAAAAAGCCTTTCCCCATCTGTTCACTTGGAAGCGCGCGAGAGAGAAAGAGAGACTAAGATAATCATAACGTTTAAAAAATTCCATACGTTTTCCCCCGCCTGCCTTCCCCCCCCCACCCAAAAAAAGTTCCAGTGCTCTGCAAGGTTGTAAAAATAACTTCTCTATTTTACAAAAGGCTGCGTGTCCATTGTGGCCGGGCTGGGGCTGGTTAGCGCGACGGAGCGGTTCTCCTTTTGGAAAAGCGGCCGAAGACTTAAAAGCTGGCTCAGGTCTTCGGAAAGGAAAGATCGGCGTGCCGAGTCCACGGGAGACGCCGTGGGAAGGCTTCCGTGGTGAGTGGACGTCACGCAAATTTGTCTTCCAGAGGCCCTTTGCAGCTAAGGGCGCGAGAGAGGCCGGGGTGGGCTCCCTTTGGTTCTTAACACGGAGGAAGTGGAGAACTGGGGGCTCCTGCATGGGCACCCCATTTTTCATTGGTGGGAAGCCTCACCAAACTTCACATTTCTGCGGGGGATTCATAGGCGCACCGGGCCTGCACTGGAAGTGCTTGGAAAAGTCCCTGGAATTGGAGACAGTCCCGATGACTCGGAAGCGGGAAGGACTGTGGGGGTCCGTGACGAGTCCTTCGTGGGAACTCTCCGGGGTACGGACGGAGCACCAGACCTGGGAAAGCGAGGGGCAAGAGATGGGGGCTCAGTGGGGCAGACTGAGGAGTGGGGGACTGAGAGAACCCTTCCAGGGCAGGGGTAGGCAACCTTGGCTCTTTTATGACTTGTGGACTTCAACTCCCAGAATTCCTGAGCCAGCCATGCCGAGGGAACAGGGACAGATTTCCAAGCTGAGCCATGCTAGCTGAGAAATTCTGGGAGTTGAAGTCCACGAGTCATGAAGGGGCCAAGTTTGAAGACCCCTGCTCTAAATGGACCTTATTGTAGACCTGATGGCTGCACAAACTAGGCCAGGGGTAGGCAACCTTGGCTCTTTTATGATTGGTGGACTTCAACTCCCAGAATTCCTGAGCCAGCCATGCTGAGGGGAAAGGGAGAGGTTTCCAAGCTGAGCCAGGCTGGCTCAGGAATTCTGGCAGTTGAAGTCCATGAGTCGTGAGGAGGCCATAGTTCCCCATGCTGGCTCAAGAATTCTGGGAGTTGAAGTCCATGAGTCGTGAGGGGGCCGTAGTTCCCCCAGGCTGGCTCAGGAATTCTGGGAGTTGAAGTCCACAAATCATGAGGGGGCCATAGTTCCCCCATGCTGGCTCAGGAATTCTGGGAGTTGAAGTCCACGAGTCATAAAAGAGCCCAGGTTGCCTACCCCTGTTCTAGGGAGATATGGGGAGGGGGGGGGAGAGAAGAGCTGAGAGCCGGATGCGGCTGAGTCCCACCTGGGCAAAGGCAACAAAGAAGAGCTGATCGTTGGTGAGGCCAAGCGCGGGCAGAGATGGCTCCTGCCCGTTCTTCTTCACCCAGTTCCGATAGGCCTGTGGGCAAGGAAAGGGCAGAGTGAGCTACGCCTGAGCCCGGCTAGGGCTCCCCACGAGGGCTGCACCCCCTCAGCTCACCCGGTAGGCGGCCTTGAGCCCCCCGTTGTCTGCAATATTCTCCCCCAGAGTGAATTTGCCGTTCACGGCTTCTCCATTGACCGAGTAGTTGCCGTACTGCTCCACCAGGCACTCGGTGTGCTGCTTGAAGGCCTCCACCGAGGAGTTCTTCCACCAGGGCCGGAGATTGCCATCCTTGTCGTACTCACGTCCTGTGTAGACACACCAACAAGGATCAGAGCTGGTCCGGTTTGCCGGAATAGGAGAACCAGGCCTGCCAAGGGGCCCTGGGGGGATTCGCTACCCGGCTCCTATTTCTCGAGAGGAGGAGAAGTGGTGCCTGCTTCCCACCAAGGGAGCCTTGCGTGCTCACCTTGATCGTCAAAGGCGTGTGTCAGCTCGTGGCCCACCACAACTCCAATCCCCCCAAAATTGATAGCCCTGTAAAAGAAGCCACAAGACAGAAGGGTTCAGCTGGACAGTGTCAGGGCTGCCTCTCACCTAACCAAGCTTCATGTGCTGACAATAATAAAAATAAAAATTATGATGAGGAGAAGAAGAAGAAGAAGAAGAAGAAGAAGAAGAAGAAGAAGAAGAAGAAGAAGAAGAAGAAGAAGAAGAAGAAGAAGAAGAAGAAGAAGAAGAAGAAGAAAGGAGAAAAAGGAGAAGAAGAAGAAGAAGAGGAAGAAGAAGAAGAAGAAGAAGAAGAAGAAGAAGAAGAAGAAGAAGAAGAAGAAGAGGAGGAGGAGGAGGAGGAGGAGGAGGAGGAGGAGGAGGAGGAGTTGGAAGGAACCTCAGAGGTCATTAGTCCAACCCTCTGCTCAGGCAGGAGACCCTATACCAGGGATAGACAACCTTGGCTCTTTTATGACTCGTGGACTCCAACTCCCAGAATTCCTGAGCCAGAATGAAGTCCACGAGTCATAAAAGAGCTAAGGTTGCCTACCCCTGCCCTACACCATTTAGGACAAAGGGCTGTCCAGTCTCTTCTTAAAAACTTCCAGTGTTGGAGCATTCACTGCTTCTGGAGGCAGGTGGTTCCATTGTCAGGAAATTTCTCCTTAGTTCTAGGTTGCTTCTCTCTTTGGATTTGGGGGGGGGGGAGAGAAGGAAGGATTGAAATGTGAAAGAGAGCAAGCACCTGATTGGGCATTTGCAGATAACCGGGGGGGGGGGGAGAATGAAGTTTCCTTCATGCTGTTTGCACAGGAAAGCCTCAGATTCAGCTTACGCCACTTCTGTAACCATTTAAGCTTCGGCAAAGTAGATTCTTGGCAAAATCATACGGCCAGGAGTCTCTCTCTTTGCTAAATGACCGAGTGGGGCGGTTGACACCGTCCCCCCAAATGCTGTCTGCCCTCTTTTGCCCCATCACCATCATTTCATCTTGATAGGGTCCGGTCCGTTCTCTCCATCATCCAAGCTTCAGGAGACTTTGACTGAGAGTCAAGGACGTCACCGGATATTCACACACACACACACACACACACACACACACACACACACACGCCTATGGCCATCAAAAGAGGCAGCTGGAGCAGTTCCTGGAGTGAAGAAACTGCGCCTCTGTCTTCCTCTCCGGGACCACCAGCTTCCCGCCCCCCCCCCAATGCCATGAGACAGGAGGGAGGGGCCGTCGTACTTGGGATAATTCCGCGTGTAGAAGGGAGACTGCAGAATTCCAGCCGGGAAGATGACCTCGTTTTTGGTGGGAGAATAATAAGCGTTCACCGTTGGGGGGGTCATGCTCCACCTGGGGAAAAATGCCGAAGCAAGAGAAGCTGTCTGTCACGGTTCCGAAAGAAAGCAGATTTTTCAAAGAATTTTGAGGCTTATATTCCTCTAAAAGAATCTTTTATTATTCTGCATAGCTTCGGCACTAACCAAGTTAAGCCAAAAACTGAATCCTCCCTCCCCCAAAACACCCGTAACAAAGCATAATTCACTCCTTTTTTTTACAGTCATCAATCACATTCTCCAATTAATGTGAAGTGTGAGGTGCCCCTCCCGTTGCAGCGGAGCTGACCTTGGCCACACTGTGCTCAGACATTGTTATGGTTAACTTGCATACTTTCCCATCCCCTAGACCAGTGGTTCTCAACCTGTGGGTCGGGACCCCATTTGGGGTCCAACGACTATTTCACGGGGGTCGCCAAACAACGCAGTCCGCCATTTTTTCTCCCCTCTTCCTTAGCTGTGCTACTCCCTTTTATTCTATTGGCTTTTGAAAGCCAATAGAATAGACTCTCTTGAATAGAGTCTAATTCTATTGGCTTTCAAAAGCCCATAGGAATTGTCCAGGCTGTCTCTGCCCTGCTGAGCCCGCCAAAAGTCCCATTCTGCAAACGGTACTGCACCAGTTGAGCAGTCCCCGACTTACGACCGGTTGAGTAGTCCTCGACTTACGACCGGTTGGGGGTCACGGCATTAAAAAGGTTGAGAACCACTGCCCTAGACTACTACTATCTGCCTTAACTCTAGAAGCGCTCTACAGGCTAAATAAAACAGGTTTGCTTCTTCAGATACGGCAATCAAGAACATGCGATGTTAGCGGTCTTGACACTGTCAAGACCAAGGTCCAGGAGACACGGCTCAGCTCTCCTCTTCAGCCCCCTCCTCCCCCCTTTCCAGATCTGGCCCCTAGAGGATGGTTCTGGGCCAACTCCTACTCACTGGTCACGGTTCGGAGGCTTGCGAAGCTGGTCAGCGGCCACCCGGGCGGAGAAGTTGGAGAACTGCATAACGTTCTCGTAGTACAGGTCAGGCACTGGATCGTACTGTCAAGACCAAGAGGGAGCCTCATCAGAGCCAAATCCCCACCCAGGAGGGCTGCCTGCAGCCTGTACCCGCCCGCTCCCCCTACACACACACACACACAGCAGATGTGACTCACCTCGTGGAAGACTTTGTCCAGCTCTTTGGGGTCCAGGATGAATTTTGGGTAGCCAATCATGTCATAGATGGCATCGGCCTTCTCTCTGGCTGACCGCTTGGTCTCGTCGTCCATCCACACAAGGCTGGCTAGGCTCTCCTCCAGCGCCCTTTTAATCTCCAGGATCATCTCCTCAGCCTGCAAGGGTGGTGGGGGGGAAGGAGGCTAGCCAGCCTTTCTCTGGCAGTGTGGGGTGCTCCAGGGCAGAAGGGAGAAGGGCTCCCCAAGTCTACACTTCGGAAGCCGGAGGAGGAGGAGGAGCACAGCTGCTCTAGGAAGGAAGGGTCTCCTCTCTCCTGCATGGGGAACCCCCGACTTGCTCTAGGGGAAGCCAGCGAGGCTGAGTGGGACCCTGGGAACCCCCTACGGGTCAAGAGGGGCAGCCCCCACGGCTCCAGGGGAGAAGAGAGGCTTACCACCGCCCGGCTGTCTTCGGCAAAGGTGGCCTTCACAAACATGGCACCCAAGACGAAACCCAGGCTGTTATCGGTGTCGCTGATGCAGTACTTCCAGCGGGGCAGGCAAGTCTGCAGAGGAAGGAGGTCACTTGCACCCAGCTCTGGCCTCTGGGCTGCCCTCTTGAGACGGCCCGGCGCCAAGTCCTTCCCTCGGCCGGAGGTGGTACTTTGGGTTCAGACCAAGGAAGAAGGTGACTGGCTGGTGCCCAAAGGATGCCCGGGGCTGCAGGCCGTTCCGATCCAGCACAGGCTGAGAGCCAGGTGGTCATGGCGCTGCAGTGCTGGCAGTGGGCAGCAGAGGGCGCTCCAGGGCAGCCAATCCCGAGAAGCAGGAGGAAGTCTTTTTCTCACGGGGAGGGGGGGGCAACGGGACTCCCCGCCACCCCTTCCTGCGTCCTTCCCTGCAGCCGAGCCCGGGGAAGCGCCTGGCACCCACCTTCTTCGATCCGTACATGACTTCCAAGAACTTCTCCCCCGCTTCCTGGAACCGCTGGTCCAGGAAACTCGCGCCTTTCCTCACCAGGTGCCAAATCATGTAGTTGCGCAACACCCTGGCACAGAGAGAGAGAGAGAGAGAGAGAGTGTCAGAGAGAGAGAAAAAAGAGAAAAACAGAAACAGAGAGAAAGAAAGAAACAGAGAGAGAGAGAGAGAGAGAGAGGAGAGTCAGAGAGAGAGAGAGAAAGAGAAAAGAGAAAAACAGAGAAACAGAGAGAAAGAAACAGAGAGAGAGAGAGAGAGAGAGAAAAGAGAAAAACAAACAGAGAGAAAGAAAGAAACAGAGAGAGAGAGAGAGGTCAGAGAGAGAGAGAGAGAGAGAGAGAAAAGAGAAAAACAGAGAAACAGAAAGAAACAGAGAGAGGGGGGGAGAGAGTCAGAGAGAGAGAGAAAAGAAAGAAACAGAGAAAGAAAGAAACAGAGAGAGAGAGAGAGAGAGAGAGAGAGAGAGATTGAGGAGAGAGTCAGAGAGAGAGAGAGAGAAAAGAGAAAAACAGAGAAACAGAGAGAAAGAAAGAAACCAAGAGAGAGAGAGAAAGAGAGGAGAAAGAGTCAGAGAGAAAAGAGAAAAACAGAGAAACAGAGAGAAAGAAACTGAGAGAGAGAGAGAGAGAGAGAAAAGAGAAAAACAGAGAAACAGAAAGAAAGAAACCGAGAGAGAGAGAGAGAGAGAGAGAGAGAGAGAGAGAGAGAAACAGAGAAACAGAAACAGAGAGAAAGAAAGAGAGAGAGAGAGAGAGAGGGAGAGAGAAGGGCTGAGGAAAGCCGGGAAAAGGGGGGTGGTGGTGGGCGGGGAACAACAAGGCTTTCTTCTGCCCTGGCCAGGACCACCCGTGGGGTCCTCCAGTTCAACGCCCCCTGCCCCAAAGTTCCTGCCCCTCCCTCACCTCTTGTCCGTGTTCAGGATGAGCAGGGAGACGCGTTGGAGATACTCCCTGGCGTAGACCACCACGGGCTCCGATTCGTTGATCTCCACCGGGTTAAAGACCTCCTTGAGCAAGGGCATCCAGTCGATGGCCGGGGCCAAGTCCTTCCGGGGCAGACAGGAGGAGTGGAGGGTGAGACCTCCTCAAGAGCATCCAGCCCCCTCCTCAAGGGCAAGGAGGCCACTTGCCTGCCTGCCACCCCGTCACCCCACGGGGAACGGACAGCTGCCAGAGAACCAGGCCTGGGTCCCCGAAAGGAGAACTGGATTCAGGGTGGCTGGAGTTGGCTTCCATTTCTTTCTAAGCTTCGCCTCGGATGGGAAGGAACGTCTCCAGGAGAGCCGGAAGCCATCAGCGTCCTCGTCTAAGGGCTGATTGGCGCGTTGTTCCACTCAAAGGGACGATGCTGGGATCGTCCACACACACCCCCTGCCTCACCTTTAGCTCCCCAGCGGGCATTTTGTGGTAGATCACTTCCTCGTCCCGAAGCTTCTCCTGCGGGGTGGTGATGTTGGCCAAGGTGGTCTCGAAGTCCAGAACTTCTTGCATCTGCGGTCGGACAGTGGCCTCCTCCTCCCCGCTGACCAGCACGCCAAGCTGGACCATGAAATTGAGGTACGCCGCCAGCACCTGCAGAAGCAGGAAAAGGAACTTGGCCTTGGTTCAACCTGGAAAGACCCTGCCACTGGCCAGGCCACATCTGGGGTGTGTGCACAAAACAAGGCCGTGCCACCCTCACAGGGCGACGGGCAGAGTCTGGAAAGGAGGGAGGCTGTGCCCGACTCATAGGGGCCCTGCTGCGGGACCACCACTCACTTTCTCGTTCTGGGTTTTGTTGAGGTAGTAATTCCTGGACGGCAGCCCCAGCCCTGACTGGTCGATCTGGAAGAGAAGCAGCAGAGAGAGAGAGAGAGAGAAAGAGAGAGAGAGAGAGAGGAGGGGGTGAGCCTGTGCAGCGGGGTGGAGCAGAGCGGCCGGCAGGCGATTCTGGGGAGGGTGTTCCCCTACCTCAGTGGTTCTCAACCTTTCTAATGCCGCAACCCCATAATACAGTTCCCCAAGTTGTGGTCACCCCCAACCACTTATACATCACCAGGTGCCAGCGGCGTGGCCAAAGAAAAGGGGGAAAAATGGCGGACAGCCTTGTTTGTCGACCCCCGTGAAATGGTCGTTCGACCCCAAATGGGGTCCCGACCCACAGGTGGAGAACCGCTGCCCTACCTGGATGATGTTGCTGCTGGAATTCTTCGAGTCGACGCTGACCGAGATGGAGAAGAAAGGGGTGAGGTGGTAGTGGGCTACCAGGGCCAGCAGCGTCTGGTTGAAACCGTACTCTCCCGAGGGGGCGCTGATATTCCAGCCTCCAAGCTGGGGGGGGAGAGAGTGAGAGAGACCCCCTATGGGTCAAGAGAGTAGGAGAGCTAAAGAAGCCCAAAGCCCCCCCCCCAGAATGGCTTTCTTGTCAGCCCGAATGAGAAGCTTAAGCGCGTCAATTGCAAGGTTATTTTTTTTTTGTTCAGCACTGGCTTTGGACGTTTCCCATCGTTCTGAACCGGGCCAGCCAGAGGGTTGGCCCCAGAGCGATTGGGAGGGGGGGGGCAAAGAGAGCTGAACGCTTCTGCCAAGCGAGGCCTTTGCTCCCGGGACCCCCATCCCGGTTACCTTCTGCACCTGATCCACCAGCGGTTTGGCCTGCAGCTCCTCTATCCGGCTCTCGTTCATGCAGGACTGGTAGTAACGCTGCACTTTGCGTTCGGCCTCGCTCAGCGACAAGGGGGCCGTGGTGTTTTCTGCAGGGAGGAGACCACCAGTCACCCCTTTCCTGCCCCCCCTGCACCCCACGGCCCTTCCCCACGGGATCCCAAGGGACCCCCGGCGCTCCTTCTGCATTCCCCTAGCTCTACGCTCTGACATCTGGGATCTGTTGGGGACTCAGTGGGGGAGAACAGCTCTCGTCCCTTCCTATGGGGCACGGAAGAGACCCCCCCCAAGAGCTTCTCCCACCCCTCAATGGCTCTGCAAGTTTTGCTTTGGTTCTGCTGGAGGATAGGACCAGGCGCTTCCGTGGGAGTAGCTGGGGGAAAGGAAAGCTCTACGGAAGCCCAGACAGATTTGGGCTGGATAAAGGAAGGTAAGGGTCTGTAGCTATGGAAATCCCCCCCCTCCCCTCCAGACAGCTGTGGATTTGGGCTGGAGAAAGGAAGGGTCTGCAGCTATGGAAATCCCCCCCCCGCCCCTCCAGACAGCGTCCCTCTTCACTGCCAAGAGAGGAATATTTAATCGGGTAAATCCCCCCCCCTGCACCCCGCTCTCTGCACATGGATGCATCTTTGGGGAGGGGGGGGAGGGAAGGACCCTCCCTGGGAAATCGCAAGAGGCCCAGTCATGGGAAAACTGAAGTGGGAGGGGGCTGTGGGGAGCGGAAAGCCGCAGGAGAGGGAGAAACCCACAAATGAGCCGAGGTGGCGCAGCAGTTAGGGTGCAGTACTGCAGGCCACTTTAGCTGGCTGTGTTCAGCAGGTCAGCGGTTCAAATCTCACCCGGCTCAAGGTGGACTCAGCCTTCCATCCTTCCGGGGGAGGTAAAATGAGGACCCAGATTGTTGGGGGCAATGTAAATATATATATATATATATACATATACATTGCTTACTGGTGTACACCGCTTAGAGAGTGCTCGCACTTAAAGCGGTATATAAGTCTCATAAATAAATAAATAAATGCAGAGAGAGACGCACGCACAGAGACTGGGGTCTCTGTCCTTCTCTAAGGCAGGGCTGCAAAGCTCGGGCTCTGCAAGGACCCCCCCCCCAAACCAGGGAGAAAGAACCCCCCCCTCCCATCCTCCAAGGAGGAGTGACCTAGCACAGCCTTGCCCCTCTCTTTCTAGCCCAGTGTTTCTCAACCTTGACCATTTTAAGGCATGTGGACTACAACTCCCAGAATTCCACAGCCAGCAACGCTGGCTGTGGAATTCTGGAAGTTGAAGTCCACATGCCTTAAAATGGTCAAGGTTGAGAAACACTGTAATCTAGCCCAAGGGTGGGGGCTCCCTTCCTTCAGCCCCCCAGAGAGCAGGACCCCCTTGGTCCTTTTGCCAGCTGCGCCCCTCCCCAAAACCCACCCAGGAGGGTCTTCAAGGCGGCCTGGTTGTGCTCCCAAAGCTTGTTGAAGGTCCCCCAGCGGGAGTGGCCATCCGGGATGGGGTTACTCTTGACCCAGCCACCGCAAGCGTAGCTGAAGAAGTCCTCGCAGGGGTCCACCGCTTGGTCCAGCGAGCTGAGGATGGAGCTGGTCACCGAGATGCAGGCTTGGCTCAGGCAGGCCTCTGACGGGAGGAAGAGGCTGTCGTCACCTCAGGGAGGGGCTGGGGGAGACCTCCCCCCCCCCGCCGCCGAGAGGAGGCCGCCCAGGTGGACGGCCAGCAAACTCACGCGTCTGGTACTGGAAGAGCAGGACAGGCAGGCAGGCCAACAGAGCCAGGAGCAGGAGGAGCGTCAGGACCAGCAGGCACTTCTCCGGCTGCGTCCGCCGCACCCAGCAGCCCTTCCTGGCTCCTGGCCCGCGGAAGTTCACCTGGGGGAGAAGGAAAGAGGGAGAGTCAGAGAAGCAGGAGCCCCCCCCCGTCTGCCACCGGGCCCAGGGACGTGGGGAGCCCTCCCTGTCTCCCTGCCAGAGCCCAGAGGCTAAAGGGAGGCCTGCAAAGAGACCGAAGGACGGCCAGGCACCCCACACCCGGCAATTGTGTGCCAGGGGCCACTCCCTGCCTTGGGACCCTTCCCTTCCGGGGAGAGAGGGCAAATGGGCCCAGAACCGCCATGGGGAGAGGGCCCAGGGGCACAGGAGCCCAGAGCAGAGACGGCCACACGTGGGAAAGCCCTCAAGCCCTGTGGTGGGAAGAGGGATGTCCCGGCTTTAGCAGGGGGCACCAGACGGTGCTGGGGGTGAGGGCCGAGGCTGCCCCCCCCCCCGGCTGCAGGTTTATTGGCATCGGCTGCACCGTTTCTCGCCTTCTGAGCTGCCCGGGTGGCCGTTCAAATCAATTGAGAGGGAGAAAGGGCAGAATTGGCAGAATAAGTGGGGAAAAGGCCCCGCCAGGCAGAAGCGGGAAGCCCGGAACGAGGAGCAGGCCAGCTGCGTTGTGGGCTTGATCTCAGGAAGGGCACTCCCACAGCAGCAATGGTGGCCTCCCTCCTCCTCCTCCTCCTCCCTCTTCTCCCCTTCCTCTTCCTCCTCCCCTTCTTCTTCCTCCCCTCCTCCCCTCCCCTTCTTTATCTTCCTCCTCCTTCTCTCCTCCTCTTCCCCTTCGTCCTCCCCCTCCTCCCCTCCTCCTCCCCTTCCTCCTCCTCTCCTTCCTCCCCTCCTCCCCTCCCCTTCTTCCTCCTCTTCCCCTTCGTCCTCCTCCTCCTCCCCTTCCTCCTCCTCCTCTCCTTCCTCCCCTTCTTCTTCCTCCTCCTCTTCCCCTTCGTCCTCCTCCTCCTCCCCTCCTCTTCCTCCTCCCCTTCCTCCCCTTCTTCCCTCTTCTTCCTCCTCCGCCTCCCCTCTTCCTCCCCCCCTTCCTCCCCTTCTTCTTCCCTCCCCTTCTTCTCCTCCCCTCCCCTTCTTCTCCCCTTCTCCTTCCTCCTCCTCCTCCTCCCCTTCCTCTTCCTCCTCCTCCTCTTCTCTCCCTCCTCTCTTCTCTCCCTCCTCTCCTCTTCCTCCTCCTCCTCCCCTTCCTCCTCCAGGGCAGGGGAACCAGAGGATTCCCCTGCAGGCAGCCCTCCTTTTCTGATGCAGGGAAGGCAGACAAGAGGGGGGGGCAGGGGGCTTCCATCCACCCCTGCCCTGCCTGGGCCAGAGCTTGTCTGTCAAAGGAGGGGGAGGAGGAGCCCACCGGCTTTCCTCTGGCTTCTCCCGGGGAAGGGAGAAGGCCAGGAAGCTGGGAGGGGAAGGCCAGGGGCCGGGCAGTGAAGGTCCGGGAGGGCTCAGGGACCCCCAAGCGCCCCCCCCGCCCCGTGCAGAGGCAAACGAGGGCTCTCCGTTCAGCTGCTGCTTCTGGGCTATGCGGAGAACTTTCCCGCGAAGGAATTCTCTTTGTTTTGCTCCACCAAAACCACCTGCGGTGCCGTGTTCGACGGGGTGGAAAAGCTAAGGAGCCAAGGAACGCCCTCCCTCCGCAGAGGTGCCCCTCCACCTGTGCCCCCCCCCAAGAGGCAGGGGTCAGCACGGGGCCAAGCAGAAGCTGGTCTGGGGCATGGAACCTCACACCAGGAAAGGACCTCCGAGGTCTAGTCCGGCTCTCTTCCCAGGCAGAATTTGCTACACCAACTCTGTCAGGAAGGGGACCTTCAGAGGCCATCCAGCCCAGCCCCCTTCTCAGAAAGAATCTGCCCCACGAAATCTCACTCTTGAGAGGGACCTCAGAGATCCCCTTAGTCCACCCCTCTTCCCAGGAGGGACCCACTGCACACAAGCCCGGTCTGGAAGGGGCCTCCAGAGGTCATTTAGTCCAGCCCCCCCCTTCCCCGGAGGAACCCGCTTTGCACAATCCTAGAACGAAAGCGTGGGCAAAGGTTCAAGAGCGGGAATTTCAAAAACCAGCAAGGCCACGACCAGGAAAGGCAGAAGCCAACAGATCTTAGAAGGAGCCCCCCTACACACACACACACACACACACACACACACACACACACTCGTGCCCTGGCAGCACCTGCAGCCTCACTGGAGGTTGGCATCTAAAGGAAGCAGAGGGGGCCCGTCCCCTGTCCTCTTGACGTGCCAGCACGTTTCCCCCCCCCAGGCATCGGGGTAAGAAAGCAGGCCCAAGAGAAAGCTGGCGGCATTGCCCACCCCCCCATCTTTGCTTTCCCCACACACAAGGCTCCTGAGATGGGCACGTGGCTGCCCAAGGCTGGAGCAGAACCAGAGGAGAATCTGCCATCCGCCTCCCTCCCTGCCCCCCCCCAGGGATGCCCAGCCTTGAAGCAGCACTGCTCCACCCCGCTTTTCCAGCCCCCCCCCAACCCCCCCACCCAAGGCTCCTGAGATGTGCAGCTTGGTCAGGGGAACAAGGGCAGAGTCCAGCCAGCCCTTCCCAGGGGGTCTCTCCCAGTAGCCCTACAGTGGACTGGACAGGGCTGGGGGGATTTCAAGGGCCTTCGAGGAGGTGAAACACAGGAAACCCTCCGCCGGAAGTGGGGGGGGGCAGTCTCCCTCCTCACCTGGACCCCATTGGGGTAGATCTCTCCCTCCAGGGCGTCCACCAGCTCCTCTTCGTCCAGGGTGGCCCGCTTGTAAGTGGACATCTGAAAGGCAAGGGTAGAAAGAGGCTCTCAGCATTATCTGCGCCCCCCCCCCGCCCGCTCTCCTGCCCCACCTGGCCCCCCATCCCTGGAGGTGCTTACTCAGACCACCAAGCAGCCAGCCCTCCCATACAGGTGTGTCCCAGCATGCAGTTCCCTCCTAGCCTCGGTCTCCCTCCCGCCCCACGCTCATTGCCCCCCTCCCCACAGCCCAGACCTCCCTCCCTCCCTCCCTCCCCCTCCTGCTGGAGAGGGATCGCCCCAAAACAGGAAGCTCAGCCAGCCAGGCGGATACCCGGGGTTTGTGAAGCCACATTCCTGGTGGAGAGAGGCTGCTTCCTGGAAAACCGGCCCCAGAATGCCTGCCCTCCTTCCCCGCCCGCCCACAGGAGATGCCCTCTGGAGATGCCTCGTGGCGCCAATCCGACGGGCACGCGGGCGCCCAAGCCTTAAGCAGAACCGGAGGAGAATCTGCCCCTCCGCCACCCCAAGGATGCCCAGCCTTGAACCAGCACTGCTCCACCCCGCTTTTCCAGTCCCCCCCCCCACAGCTCCAGTTAGAATTTGCCTGAAGGGGCAGCATGAGCCAAACTCCCCTTTTCCCTGGGGGGGGTCTAAGCCCCCCCTCCATCAACCCACCCTGTCAGCTCCTGGCACAGTGTCTGGCAGCTTTATCGGTCCTGTTTGGTTTCCTGTTTCGGTGGCTTGGTTGATACAAGTCTCCAAGGGCCGGAGCTGGGGAGGTGGCATGCGACCCCCCCGCCTGCATGCTTCTCCCCTTGGACCCCCCAGCCTAACCTGGACCCTCCCCAGACCCGTGTTCTGAGGGTGCCCCCCCCTCCCCAAGATGGCCAGCGACATCGACAGCCTTCTAAAAGCCCAGGTGAGTTTCCGAAGCAGACCGGAAGAGCTGAGCCTCCTCGCTCGGGGCAGTGTACCTCCCAGTGCCCAGGAGAGAGGCTACTGACCAGAGGGATCCAGAAGGAACCAAACCAGGCAGAAGACCGTGATCTGCTCAACTAACTAAGTCCCAGCCAGCTCAGGGCGACGGCGTACAAACCAGGCAGGGGAATCCTGAAATTCTCCCGGGAAAGGCTGGCCTGCAGGACAGACCTTCAGATTGAGGCTTCCTTCCGACCAGCTGCAAGCCCTCGGGGGTCTCTCCTCAGCCCCCCAGCTGCTGGGAAGCAGCCTCTCCCCACGGGGGGGGGGCGGTCCTGCTTAGCTCTGCCGGGATGCAAAAACAGCCCCCTCCCCGCTTGGCTGGCTCTTTCCAGGAAGAGCTCCCAACGGCTTGTTTACCGAAAGGCCTTCCCAAATCCCTGCCCTGCCACTTCCGGCCCGGCTGGCTGCCTTCGCTGCCTCTGTCCCAGCTCCTCGGCCAGGCAAGGGCCCCCCCCCCTGCTCTCCCACACACCCCATTCCCTCTACCTGCTCAGCGGCCGGAGGAAAAAAATATAAGCTGGGTCAGCCAACCGGCAAATTCGGCCTGACGGAATCAAGGCGGAAGGAGAGGTCGCTTCCCGTCCCAACTTCGGGAAGCCGAGCGAAGGGGGGGAGCCTGCAGCCCTGGCCAAAGGCTTCCAGGGCTGGCCAAGCCATGCTCCCTTCACTTCAAGGGGGTGGTGCTTTGTGTGGGGGGGGAGGAGGAAGAGGAGATGCCTCTTTGCCCCCTGACCTTATTCCCTGACCTTATTCAGACAGCCGCACACCCCATCAGCGTCCGTCCGGTGTCTCTTCTTACAGGGTAAACAAGCCAGGAATGCTGTCCAGGCCGAGAAGCACAGCTGGTGCACCTGACTGCAGCCCAAGCAACCTTAAGGAAGACCCCCCCTCCCCATGGAGCAGCCGGCCTTCCCATCACACACACACACACACACACACACAGAATACAGAACAAGAGAGCGGGAAGGGACCTTGTAGGTCATCTAGTCCCACCCCCTGCTCAAGCAGGAGACCCTATACCAGGGCTAGGCAACCTTGGCTCTTTTATGACTGGTGGACTTCAACTCCCAGAATCCCTGAGCCAGCCATGCTGAGGGGAAAGGGAGAGGTGTCCAAGCTGAGCCAGGCTGGCTCAGGAATTCTGGGAGTTGAAGTCCACCAGTCATAAAAGAGCCAAGGTTGCCAACCCCTGGCCCTAGACAGTCACTTGTTTGAGATGGTATAGGTCAGGGGTAGGCAACCTTGTCTCTTTTATGACTGGTGGACTTCAACTCCCAGAATTCCTGAGCCAGGCTGGCTCAGCTTGGAAACCTCTCCCTGTCCCCTCAGCATGGCTGGCTCGGGAATTCTGGGAGTTGAACTCCACGAGTCATGAAGGGGCCATAGCTCCTTATGCTGGCTCAGGAATTCTGGGAGTTGAAGTCCACCAGTCCTAAAAGAGCCAAGGTTGCCTACCCCTGCCCTATACCATTTGTACCCCCCCCACACGCACACAGATAATGCAAATAGATTCTGCTGGAATAAAGTCCAAACGAGCAGCCAGGGAAAATCCATGCGCCCCCCCCCTTCTCCTTCCCTTTGGCTGACCCCTTTCTGGAGACCCAGAGTTACTGCAGCCCCCCCCCAGAAGAAAAGGGCTGACCCCTTTGTGGAGACCCAGAGTTCCCGCAGCCCCCCCCCAGAAGAGAGGCTCACCTCGAGGGCTGCCGAAGCTGGGATGTTTCCCCCCCCCAAAGTCTCTTCTTCGGCTGAAGACCAGGCACACATGCTGGAATTTATGTAACTCCGCACCGCCCTCCCCAACCAGCCACGGGAGCCTATGAAGGGAGAGCAAGTCGCAGGCCAGCCTGGAGGAAATCGTCCCACATGAAGGGCTGGAGAGCAAACAAGGCCTTCGGTCACAAACAGCAGGGGAAGGGGTAGTGCTGGCCGGAGGAGAAGGCAAAGGGATCTCCTGCTTCTCAGCATTGGGGGGGGGGACAAAAACCACTCAGACCAGCTGAATATCTGGGCCAGTCTTTCCCATCACCTCCCTGCCCCCCCCCCCTCCAGGCTATGCTGCCCCTTCCAAATTAAAGATAAAGCCTCCGAACCCAGAGGAAGGCAGATTCTGACCCCAGGCCACGAGCAAGGAATCTGGGGGGGTCAGGGGTGACTGCCTCTTCCCCCCCCCCAGAGCACGCTACCCCTTGCCGGAGCCTATGAATCAGCCCTGGCTAGGGACACATTAGCAGAAGCATCCCTTTCCATCTTTAGGAAGGGGACAAATTGCTTTGCAGCAGAAAACCGCACCGTGCCCAAGCACACAATCACAGCAGCAGTGCAAGAAACGAAAATGCGTGGACTGTTCCCAGCCCAGTTCAGAAGCCGCACAAAACCAACGCTGGCAAACCACAGACTTGGCCAATTCGGACTCAACTCTCTCTCCAACGCCTTTGGCACGCAACCGCAGCCTGAAAAGGTGTTCTGCCACACACCTCCTCCTCCCACGGAGCTCCCAAGAACTGGAGCCGACCACACATGCATGTCCCAGGAGGCAGAGGGTCTCCTCAGCCAGCCTTCTTCGCTACGTGCCCTCCCACCTACATTTTCGAGGGTAACTGTGATTCCTCGGCTGCCAGGAAATAAAATCTGATTTTAGGCTTATAAACGCTCAGCCCGGCCTCGTTCGGCGGGGACAAACCATTCGCTCGTCTCTTTAAAAAAATGGGGGGTTCCTGTGCCAAGCTTGGGACTGGGGTCTGGGGGAGACTCCGTTCTTGGGGAACCTAAAAGCCAAGCCCTCCCCGAAGGGTTAGGATTCTGCTGACCAGGAACCCCAGCCCCGATCTTCCCATTTCTCCAGCATTGCCTGCAAATGCCCACCCTTTTCCCTTTCTGCTGCCCCCACCCCCAGCACCATCCAGACCCCAGAGATTCCGCCATTCAGCTGGGAAATGGCAGCTGGATCAGAAGACCACCTCGTTTCCTATCTGACCAAAGCTATAAGCCCCCCCCCCCTAAAACTTGGTTCCCCCTAGGTCAGGAGGCCAGAAAAGGCCTTCCTGTGGAAGACAGGCTGGCTTGTAGACTCCTGGTCAAAGGGCCTTTGCTATCTCTCTGCACATGCCCGGGAAGGATGGGTTGGAACCCCCCCTCCCCCAACCCGCTTCAGCAACCTGAAACAAGGCGAGCTGGACTCGGAGTTCACCCACACGAGAAACTGGGCATTTCTGCTCCTGAATCACTTCCTGTTTGAATTTCTCACTGGGCCTGGAAGAGAACAGGCTGCGCAGTTCCCACTGCAGCCGCCAGCAGGGCTGCCTCCCATCTGGACCGGCTCCCCTTCCCCGTGTTTGAGGGGGAGCCACAGCCTCTCTCCCCCCCTCCCCGCAAGAGGAAACGATCTTGGCAGCCTGGCAGAAAAAGCGGGCGGCCCCAGCAGGACGCTGCTTTCCCAGGAGTGACCCGTGGCCTCAACAATGCAGGGGCCGGGTTGAAAAAGGGCCAGGGCACCAGCTGTGCACCCCACAAGCCCTGAACCCGACCCAGACAGGGGGAAGGAGATCTAGGCGGTACTTCTGCAGACAGCTGTGGGAGAAGGCCTTGGGGTGGTGTGACGAACAGAGAGTCTTAAATCACCAAGAGCTCTTCCTGGCCCCCCAAAAGAAGGGCCAGATCCGCAGTTCCTCAAGGCCCAAACAGGAGGCGCCCTTTACCCACCTCTTTCTAAGCAGCTCTGCCCACTAGGCCACCGGGCCAGTTCTCCTAAGTCCGTTCGGACTGTCCCAGCCTGGGCCTCTCTCCTCCTAGCTAGCAGAAGGGAGACTGGGAAGCAGCTGCATCTGTTTACTGCCTTCCCAGTCCCCATCCCACCCGCCCGCCCCCAACCTTTCCCCCCCCCCATACACCAGGCGAGCAGACGTCAAGCGGCTGCGTCAGTAGGAGGGCTTCCAGCTTTTTCCACATCACTCATACAAAGGCCCCACCGAGGAAGGGAGGCCAGGGCCAGGCCCCGGTGGAGAGACCCTCCCCTCTGTAGAGCAGAGCAAGCCCTGTTTCTGGAGGGGGGGCAAAGGTCACAGAGGCGGCCCACCTCTCTCGGAGAAGAGGGCAACTAGAGGGGGTGGTCTCCTCTCCCCCCCCCTCTTTCCCAGGCCAGGCGTCCCAGGATGGAGGCTGTTGTTTCCAGGCCTCTGAGCCAAGCCAAAGCAGCCTGGCTGGAGGGGAGCCCTTGCAAGGCCTTGGGGTGAGGGGAGAAGGGCAGCTGGTGGGGCAGAGGCACGTCTGGGGGGGCCTCCCCCCTCTCTGCACCCACAAAGTCAGCCGGGGCTGCTGGCGACCCTCCAGAGGGGCAGGGGCTTCTCCTCACCCCACTGAGCCTCAGAGGGCACTGGAAGCAGAACGGGGACAGAGGCTGGACCCCCTTTCCCCTTTCGCCCCATTGGCCGCAGGGCAGCCGGGCAAGGGCCAATGAGGGGCCACGGCGGGGCCTCCAATCAAAGACCAGCGGCGTTTTTTTGGAGGGAAACCTGCCTATAAAAGGGGGCGCCTGAGGGACCCCCGGCCAGAGCTGAAGTGAAGAGCCGAGAGGAGGATGGCAGCCCCGGCGGGACTCTGCGCAGGGAGCCCGGGCGAAGAGAAGCAGCGAACGCTCCCGCCTGCTGGTGGCCGGACCGCATGCTCGGAGGCACCGGCGACCCGCCGCGAGACCCTCGCCGGCTTCGTGCTAGCGGAGCGCCCGTCCCGGAAAGGAGCGTCGCCCAGGAAGAGGAGCCCAGCCGGGCTTGCGGGCTCCGTCACGATCCCGCCGAGAGGCTTCTCCCCGCGCCGGTCCCGGCCCGGGCTGAGGAGGCGGCCGTCGCGCTCCGTCGGCGCCTTAGGCCCGAGAGTCCGCTGGCCGGAGGGACGCCGGGCATGTGCGGCTCCGCCCTGGCCCCTCGGGGTCCCTCGGAGGACGCACCGTGTTGGGCGAAGGAGGGCGGGAGGCCGCTTCCCTCCAAGGAGCGTCTGGGACCGCGGTGGAAGAGGGAGAGCCCCGGGTAGCAGTCCTGCTCCGCGGCTGAGACTCCCTGCCGCCGCCGGACGGAGCGCAGCAGGCGGACTCGCCTCCGTGGGCCATGCTCGCTGAGGACTAGCCGCGTGGGGAGACCCGGAGGGGAAAGGGTCCCGAGCAGCAGGCCCCGACCCCGCTTTTCCTTTCCCAGCTCACCATGGCCGCCGTCTCCGCAGAAGGCCTCCGCGCCCGCCTCGCCGCCCCGGGTCAGCCTGCGGGGTGGCTGCCGAGCGCCTCGCGAGGACGCCGGCGACCGGCAAGGGTACCGCCCAATCGCAGCCGGCCGAGCGGACACACCTGCTTTTGTCCGGCCAATCCGCGGCCGAGGGGCGGGACTCCTCTGGCGGGAGGCGGAATTACTATAGGCGATCGCTCCTGCCCAGGTGCGCTTGAAGTAGCCACGCCGCGGCAACTCACCTGGCCGCGTGGGGGACGCGGGACTCACGGCTTTCCGGATTTGTTTGGTCCCGCGGAAACGGCGCGGAAGTCAGCCCCGATCCAACCCTGTGTGTGTGTGTGTGTACCAAATTGTGATGCCTGGTTGTAACACCAGATCTCTCCCATTCATTAAAACGGAGGCACTCTCTATTTTCATCCTATTTTGCAAAGTTGTGTTTATCAAAAGGGTGAGCCACGAACGCCCAGGTTGCGAAAGTTACACTGCAGGAAGTCTTTGACTTAGGACCGCAAGTGAGCACAACATTTGATGTTGCTAAACGAGACCTTAAGTCACCTTGGCCTCATTTTACGACTTTTCTTGCCACAGTTAAGCAAATCATGGCAGTCGTCAAATTGGTAGCCAGTTAAGCGAATCCAGCTTCCCCATGGACTGCTTGTCAGGAGGGGATGAAAGGACGCCATCGCCATTGTAAATATGAACCAGTTGCCAAGCCTTTGAGTTTTGAACATGTGACCATGGGGCTGCTGCATTGGTCATAAGTGTGGAAAAACTACCATTCAGTGCCATTGTAACTTTGGTCACTAAATGAAAAGGATTCCAGTGACAACCACCATCAGAATGCAAGGATGGTTTAGCAACGGGTTGAAGCCACCAACATGATAGCAGCCTTCCAATATCTCAGGGGCTGCCCCAAAGAAGAGGGAGTCAAGCTATTCTCCACAGTGCCTGAAGGCAGGACGAGAAGCAATGGACTAATCAAGGGGAGAAGCAACCTGGAACTAGGGAGAAACTTCCTGACAGAACAATTAACCGGTGGAACAACCTGCCTCCAGAAGCAGTAAATGCTCCCACACTGGACGTTTTTAAGAAGAGATTGTCTGAAATGGCATAGGGTTTCCTGCATGAGCAGGGGGTTGGACTAGATGACCTTTGAGGTCCTGTCCAACTTTATTATTATTATTAACTCCAGCCCTGCCAGGCAGCTGGGCTTACCTGGGGGGCTCCATGGGTGCCTTCCACCCCCCACAGCAGCTCCTGAGCTGACTGGGTCCCAGGATAAAGCCACAGGGCAGCTTGACATAAAGGCCGCCCAGGAATCCATCTCGTTCCTTCCAGACTGAGTGGCTCTGCCTTCAGGGCTCTTCTGAAATTTGCTTTTCCTGAAACAGTTTGGTATTGTTACCCTCCTGGAAGGAAGTTGTGCAAGGCCACCTCCCATCCTGTGACGGGCCCTGGGGGTGGGAAACAGGCACAGAGGCAGGCAAACCCTGGGAAAAAAAACCCTTTTGCTGTCTGACCTCTTTTTGGGGAAGGAGCTTGCACCACCCCCCACCCTTCTTAAGGGGGACTCTGGGAACAGACCCAGAGCCTTCCTTGGGTAGCTTGGCAAGGGGGTCCTCCTGCCCCCTTGCATGCAGCTAAACTGCCCCTCCTCCACCCAACCCAAGTCTCTTTCTCTTGTTGGGGAAAAAAAACCATTTGGGGGTCTTCTGGGCAGGCAGGAATCTGCTGGGGGTTAAATTGGGCTGAACTGTTTGGCTGCCGAGAAGGCATTGGTGGACCTGAGTCAGGGTCCTCCCCATTTCAGCTACAGAAAAGGATGATGGGAGACGCAGTCTGGTTCGCAAATGCCAGCCGGGCATCTGGACCCTCCAGAACAACAGCCCCCTCCCCCCTCCTGGTGTGGCTGCCCTTCTGGGCACTGGCACGGCTGGAGCCAGTTCAGATCCAGAGGCATTATAATAAAAGTCATCCCAAGCACCCCACTTGTCCCCTTTTTCACATCTGCCCCGTTTCAGGACCCAGATGTTCAAACTCAGAGAAGGGGAGCTGAGCTGGTGAGGAGGGCGCCAGGGCTGCAAAGGGTGAGATGTGGAGCCTGGATCTTACGCTCCGGAGGGAGTGTGTGTGTGTGTTGAAAGGCCTCAGCTGTTGTTTTCTCACCGGGCTAATGTTTAGCTCGCTCTTGTTTTTACAGCTGTGCAGCCGCAGGCTGGCATTTTCTCCTTTCCGGATTGGCAACTTCTGGCCCTTTCCTTGCACGGCTGGGGGCGGGGAGCGTGCGCATGCCCGGAGCTCGGCTTGGCTCCAGGGTCACCGTCCGCCAGCTGTGCTGCAGCAGGCCAGGAGGCTGTGCCCTGCAGCCTTGGGCACAGGAACGCCTGGCACCTTCCCAACTCTTTGCACAAACACTCCACCATCCTGGGAAGGCTCCCACGGGCAGAAGCAGACGCCCAAGCTGGCACTTGCTGCCACGCTTCCTCTCCTGGGGGAGCCCAAAATCCAGGCCAGGGTCTTCAAAGTTGGCCCTTTGATGCCTCGTGGACTTCAACTCCCAGAATTCCTCAGCCAGCATGCACATTGGCTGAGGAATTCTGGGAGTTGAAGTCCACGAGGCATCAAAGGGCCAACTTTGAAGACCCCTGAGCTAGAACATAGAGTTGGAAGAGACAACTTGGGAGTCATCTAGCCCAGTGGTCCTTAACCTTTTTGAACGAATCGCCCCCTTGAGCCAATGAGGAAGTTGTCATCCCCCCCCCCAACATAACCTCTCAATCACAACATAGGAAATAATTCTTCCATTTATGCAAACACTTTTTATGCTTTCTTTAAAATTGTCATCAGGACCTATCGATGCAAATAATTTTATTTCCAGTCTTTTTCCCATATCTCAACTGTGTGAAAAAGTTTGGTGCCACCCGTCACTTTATTCCCAAACTTCGTGATACGTGTATTTCATTATGATCTTATTTATTCAAGACACTTAAATGTAATGACCATTGAAAACAAAATTCAATTGCAAGAAAGTGAAATGCCCCAAAAGAAAAACAGTAACATTTCATGATTGAATTACAAGTGAAATTTAAGACGCAAAAAGAAATATAAAAAGGGTAGAGGCTGCTGCACATGAAGATAAGCGGTGTGTCTTCACATACGTACGGCGTTCTGTACTGAAGCTAGCCGGAGGAACATTTGAAAACACAATTCAATCCGCTAATAGCGATCTGATGTTTTTGTATGACAGATATACAGCCATTCACTGTATGAAAAAGTCTCAAAAGTGTCCCCAAAACTTCTTGCTCCATCGCCCCCATATCGCCCCTTTTGTTCCTTCACCCCCGCGCTGCCCCTTTTTGTTCCATTGCCCCCCCCCGAAAAACAAAATCGCCCCCTGGGGGGCAATATCTAGTCCAACCCCCCTGTTCAAGCAGAAGAGTCTATACCAGGGGTGCCTGGCTGAGGAATTCTGGGAGTTGAAGTCCACAAGACATCAAAAGGCCAAGCTTGAAGACCCCTGAGCTAGAACATAAAGAGTTGGAAGGGACACCTTGGAGGTCATCTAGCCCAACCCCCTGCTCAAGCAGGAGAGTCTATACCAGAGGTGCCTGGCTGAGGAATTCTGGGAGTTGAAGTCCACAAGACATCAAAAGGCCAAGTTTGAAGACCCCTGAGCTAGAACGTAAAGAGTTGGAAGGGACACCTTGGAGGTCATCTAGCATCTAGCCCAACCCCCTGCTCAAGCAGGAGAGTCTATACCCGAGGTGCCTGGCTGAGGAATTCTGGGAGTTGAAGTCCACAAGACATCAAAAGGCCAAGCTTGAAGACCCCTGAACTAGAACATAAAGAGTTGGAAGGGACACCTTGGAGGTCATCTAGCCCAACCCCCTGCTCAAGCAGGAGAGTCTATACCCGAGGTGCCTGGCTGAGGAATTCTGGGAGTTGAAGTCCACAAGTCATCAAAGGGCCAAGTTTGAAGACCCCTGAGCTAGAACATAAAGAGTTGGAAGGGACACCTCGGAGGTCATCTAGCCCAACCCCCTGCTCAAGCAGGAGAGTCTATACCAGGGGTGCCCGGCTGAGGAATTCTGGGAGTTGAAGTCCACAGTCATCAAAGGGGCAAATTTGAAGACCCCTGATTAGCGCCTCCCTCGCCCTCTGCCCCCAGTGAGAATCTTGGCCGGCCAGCGGGCGGGCAGGCGAAGGGCATCCTCCGCTGCTGGAGAACGCAGGAAAGCCCCGCCCCTCCGCAGGCCGGCCCGTTTCTTGGCCGAGACTGCCCTCTGCTGGCAAGAGCGCAGCGCTGCAACCGGTAACTTTTGCGAAGGGGACGCCCGTTATTCTCTCTTCCCCCCCCCGCCATGCTCGGCATCCAAGGCGGTCGAGGGGGGGCGGAGGGGGGGGCAGATTCTTCCTCTTGCTGCATTTTTCAGGGTGCGGGAAAGGATCCCCAGCCAGGGAAGCAGCCACGGGTGGGGGGGTGGGGTGGGGGACACGTCCAGCCTTGCTCCACGAGGTCCTAATCAATCGGGGGGGGGGAGAAAGGGAGGGACCCCCCCAGAAAGGGAGGGACCCCCCCGCCTTTTGTACTCCTCGCGTTAGTCCAGGGAGGAAGAAAAATCTTCCTTAACCACGATACTCGGAACAACCGAAGCGACTTCTTGCCAAGGGTCGCCGATTCCGTCGGAGGGGCGCCCACCGCCCCTGGGTGTCCGGCCAGCGCCCCGCCGGGGAGGGCAGCGGCCGCGATCCCGGCCCAGCTAAAGGGCTGAGCGAGTCCGGCGACCCCCACCGGCCAAGGGCTGCCGTAGGGCCAGTCGTAGCCCTTCCTTCGGCGGGCCGTCGGGGGGGGGGGAAGAGAGGCGACGGTGCAGCGGCCGGCAGAGGGCAGCGTTGCTTCTTTCCCCGGGCTCGGGGAGCCAAAGCGGGGGGGGGGCGCCGGGGAGCCTTCCCTCCCTCCCCTTCCCCGCCTCCCTCCGCTGCTTCTGCCTTAAAAAGCCCCGCCGGGCCCTGCAGCGTGCCCGGGAGACCGACGGGGCCGCGAGAAGACGCGCCGGAGCAAGGTGAGGCGCGGGGACCCCGCTCGCCCCCTCCCGTGACTTGGCTCTCTCCCGCCGCCGCAGGACTCGACTGATGGGCCGGGAGAGCTGGCCACGGGGCCCTTCGAGCATGGGCAGAGGGCGAACCGGGACAGCCAGGCGCTCTCCGGCCGGGAGGAAGGGCGCCCCCCGGGAAGGGAACGGGGGACAATCTGAGCAGGGTCCACCTTTGCCCACGCCGGCCTTGCGAGGAAGGCCACCGTGGCTGCTTTCGTCGCCCCTAGGAGACTGGAAAGCGACGGCTGCCCCCGCAGCCCCCAAGCCGCACAGCCGCCTCGGTCAGATTGGGCCCCCCCTCCCCTGAATCCCCTGCTCCGTTTGGCAGGGGGGTGGGCTCGGGGAAGTGAGGGTCTCGGGACCCCCCCCCCTTTCTCTCTCTTCCCGGCTGAGGAGTCTGCTGTCCCCAGAGAAGCCCTAGCCAAGCGTCCTCTCTCCAGCCCGGGGCGGGGGGGCTGCTTTGGGGGCAGAGCTCCTGCCCATGGCTGGCATCCAGAGTCAGCGCTGGGCAAGAGGCAGCGAGGCTCCCAGGCAACACCAGGCAAGTGAGCGCTTTGTCTTCCACAAGCTGACTGGCTCATCCAGGCCAACCTGGGGGGGGGAGGAGGCGGGGGGGGGGAAACTGAATTGAGTGTCCCGGTGGAGGAGGGGATCTGGAGCCCCCAATTGCAACCCCTGCCAGAGAGAACAGGCAGGTGTGCAACCCTGAAAGTAACGTTGAACCTGGGTGGGAGAGAGAGAGAGAGAGAGCAAGCAGGTCTGTGCTGGCGGGTGGGGGAGGGAGAGACAGAAGAGGCACAGTGGATCCCCCCCCCCCTCAAGAAGAAGCCGAAAGATTCTGCATTCACCGGCTCACCCAAGGCAATTACCCAGCCTTGCTAAATGCCATTCACAAGACAGGCAGGTCCCCAGCCGCACCTGTTGCAGATTCATCCCTACGGCAAAGAAGGGGGTTCCCCGATACACAATCACGGGCCGTCCAGGCCAGCCTGTTGAGCCTCTTTTGTGGGCTGGGGCACGCGCGGAAAACGGCTCTCTGGGCTGAGCCACAGCTGCACGCCCAGAGCAACAAGAACCCCCTCCCTGCCCCCTCCCCAGCGAGAGAAGGAAGCCCAGAAAGTGCCCCGTGAAATCGGCCGTTGGGCTGACTGCATTTTTTCTTCCTACCTGGGGTTCAAGTCCTGGTTCCCCAACCCCAAGAAAAAAAAACCTCCCCGGGCCAGGCCCCACGTCGCCTGGGTCACTGCCTACAATAATGGCCGGGGCGTTCTCCCCTCGCCAAAGCACCAGCCCTGCCCGCGGTGGGCCTCGCACGGCCGCCTTGCCAGGACGTGTGAGGGAACAGGGCGGCCCAGCTCCCAAGGCATGGCTGCTGCTGCTCCAACAGGATGACCTGGTTGGTGCCTGTGGGGTTCGCTGGCTGCCTCCGTTGGGTGGAAAGCAGAGGCCTCTGGGGCAAGGCCAGGGGGTCAGCCTCAGAGTGTCCCTCTGCGTTGCAAGATCCTGGGACGGGGAAGATGTCCTCAAAGTTCTGAGACGCTCTTCCCCGGCCCTTCCCTGTGTCAGGAGAGCCTTCGGCTGGAGCCCCTAAAGGCCAGCTGGGAGAGCCTCTGCTCTGGACAGCAGCGACCAGCTCCTGCCTCTGGGCAACCAGGCAGGATGGTGACGAGAGTCTCTTTCCAAACTCTGCAGTTCCATCTGGCAGAGGAAGCCCCCAAGTCCTGCTTAGGGGGGCTGGCTCAGCCCCCCCTCCCCTATTTTCTGTAGCTGCCAGGGCAGAGGCAGCAGCTGCTCCGGGCGGGCGGCCCAGGTGCCAAGTAAAGTCTTGGGAAATGCCTCTCCATCCGGCTCTTTCTTTGCTGGGAGGAGGGGGAGAGGCGGGGGGGGGGGGGTTGGCTTCAGGCTTGCCTGCCAAAGGCTCCCGGCTTCTCTTAAGCGCATTTGATGGATTCAGCAGGCGCTCAGGAAAATAATCCCAGAGAATTAGCGGCAGCAAAGAGAGGCTTACGGGGAAAGCCGCTTTGCCCCCCCCCCACGCAGGTGGCAGCGGCCTGGGAGAGGATTCTGCAGGGAAGGCCCCGGGACGGGCAAGGAGGCTGCTTCTCCTTGGGGGCATCTGGTGGGAAAAGAGGCGTGGGTGGCCAGCCGGGTGCACGGAAAGGAGATGGGGTGGGGGGATCACAATCGATTGTGAGGGAGGACGTGCGGAGGGAGCTGCATCCTGAACGCTCTCCTTGTCAGGACGCTTTCCTTGGGAGCTTGCAAGCAGCCAAATGAGGTGGGTCCGGCTAGCCGAAATTGTGAATAGCACCAGTTCCTCCAGGAACTGGCCAATGCTTCTCCTTGGCTCTCTGTCCAGTTGTAGGCACCTTCCTCACCTCATCCCATCCACTGGTACTGGTCTTGCCCGGTCCTCGTGAGTTTTAAAGTCCCAACATATTCCAAAGAGGCCAATTGGGAGAAGTTTTGCTATGTCAGAAAGACTCCTGTTAGCTTTTTTAAATCTTGCACCAAGAGGGAATTTCACCCCGTTTTGAGCTGGACAAACCATGCAGCCGTCTTGCGATGAGGATACCGAGGCTTTTTTTGTTTTGTTTTGTTTTCAGAGATTTCTATTCCAGATTACGACTCCAAATTTCCTTGGCGCTCTCCCCACCCAAACACGGGTGGCTCAGCCGGCTTCTCAGCTCATCCAGGTCCACCCTTCGGTGGATAACCTCGAAGTCCCCTCCCTTTCCCTCTCCAGGGTGAGGAGGGGGCAAAGGTTCCCCCCCCCCATCCCTATTCCTCCACCAGTTGCAAGCTTGCATGAGGGAGGGTTAATGGTTGTCCTCCTCCTGGAGGCCAAAACGAGATTGCTCCCCAGGAGGCAGCTGTTGCAGCACCTGACACCCCCCCCCTTTCAGGGAAGTGTTGCCGGTGAGGCAACACACAGGAAGCCAGAGCTGAAACCGCAGGCCCTGTGGCTGTTGATCAGAATAGAGCTGGAAGGGGCCCTGGAGGTCATCTAATCCAACCCCCTGCTCAAGCAGGAGACCCCATACCATTTCAGACAGGGGGCTGTGCAGTCTTTTCTTTAAAACCTCCAGGGATGGAGCACCCACAACTTCTGGTGGCAAGCTGTTCCACTGGTTAATTGTCCTCACTGTCAGGAAGTTTCTCCTTAATTCCAGGTTGCTTCTCTCCTTGATTAAGTTTCCATCCGTTGTTTCTTGGCTTGCTTTCTAGTGCTTTGGGGGGAAAACGTTGACCCCCTCTTCTTTGTGGCAGCCCCTCAAATACTGGAACACTGCTATCCCCCCCCCCAGTCCTTCTTTTCTCTAGACTACCCAAACCCAAATCTTGCAGTCGTTCTTCGTACGTTTTAGTCCTCCGAGTTGCTGTTTCTCTGCCCTTTTTCCAAAGTCTCAACATCTTTTTTGTACTGTGGGTGACCAAAACTGGATGCAGAACCCCAGCGGTGGCCTTCTTAAGGCTTTGTATAAAGCGGCACTAACACTGCACACGATTTTGATTCTGTGCCTCTGTTTATACAAGCCAGGATTGGGTTTTCCTTGTTGGGTTGCTGCCGGCACACGGCTGGCTCAGGTTTAAGTGAGCGTCCGGATGGGGTGGCTGGCTCTGAGGCTGATGGGGATGTCCCTGTCCTTCTTGCAGGATCCAGGCAGTTTTCCCGTGCCGGGGAAATTGGTTCCCTGAGACCTCACCATGAAGCCTCTCGTGCTGCTCCTGCTCGCCTTTGTGGGGCAGGCCTCTCTTTCCTTCGTGGTCCCAGGTGAGGTCCCACGCTTGGCCAGGTCTGGGGAAGGAGGGTGGGTGCCAAGCAGACGTCCACGGTGTATGGGTGTGTGTGCGTGTGGCTTACCAGAAGCACAGGTATTGGGGTGCTATTACCCACTTCCCCCTTGCAGCAAAGGAGAAGGATCCCCATTTTTGGCGGCTTCAGGCCCGGGAGACGCTGCAGAGAGCCTTGAGCCTTCAAAAGCTGAACACCAACGTGGCCAGGAACATCATCCTCTTCCTCGGAGACGGTGGGTGGTGCAAGATGGCGGAGGCTGGCTGTCCCCCAGTCTTCTTGGCCTGAGAAGAAGGGGACTTCAGCAGCCCCTTTTAGGCGGTGTCGTGCCTTTGTTCAGCTCACTGGGGGAGCGAGACACGCTGATTAATCTCCTCGTTGGCAGCTGCCACTGGGTGGGTGTGGGGAGGGGGAAGGGGAAAGCCCCCCCCCAAGAGAGAAGGGGTCCTCCAAGAGAAACTTCCTTCAACATTTTCTATTCTGCCTTTGTTGTTTTGATAAATAACTCGAGGCAAGGAGTGTAGTTCCTCCTCCCCTTTTCCCCACCACCATGGTCCTGTGAGGTGGGCTGGGCTGAGAGAGCTTTCAACACAGTGCCCGTCGGGCGAATGCCACCCTCCCCCCCCCAGCCCAAACATTCTTCCATGGAGGACATTTGGGAGACCCCGATGCTCCTGAGCTGCCGTGTTGCCATGGCTGGATGGGGAAACTGAGGCAGCTCCGGGGGTAACCTAGAGGCTCTCTAACTGGTGGGCACAGCTCACCGAGGCTCTCCTGTGCCAGGGATGGGCATCGCCACCGTCACGGCCGCTCGCATCCTCAAGGGACAGCTACAGCAGAGAACTGGGGAGGAAACCATATTGGAGATGGACCGGTTTCCCTTTGTGGCGCTCTCTAAGGTAAGGAGGTCTTCCGGCTGGTGGCTACTGGGTGGAGGAGGAAGGGAAGCCGAAAGAGGAAGAACTGCAAAGCCCGTGCCTCGCCCGTTCCCGGGAAACCTCCCCCAAGGTTGGCAAAGCTCCAGGTGATGCATACGGACCCTGGCCCAGAGGGAGAGGCAGGCTGGGCAGCGGGAACCCCACGGTTGGCTCATGTCACCTGCCGGGCAGTGAACTTCCTTGAGTGGGAAACAACCCCACGCACGCAGAGAGAGAGAGACGCCTGATTTGTCAAGGTGTGGCTTTTTGGGGAGATGGCAGAAGGAAGGAGCACACGGGCACAAACAAAGGTTGCCGCCCGAAGGAAGCAAGGCTGCTTCCACGAAACACAAAAGCAGCCTTGGTGACAAAAGAGGGAGGGTGCTGACCTGTCCCAGAACGAAAGAGCGTTAAGGTCAGTGCCAAGGGATCTCTTGAGGAACCTGCTGCTTGAGGCTGGCTGGCGAGGATTAAAAGAGCAAACCTCACATCCTGGTTCCGTGGGAGCCTCTCCAAGTCTTTTCCCAGCTATTTCTCCCTGTAGAATGACCCTTGGGCAGACAAAAGGAAAGTCCAGTACTCAGAGGCACGAGAGAGAGAGAGAGAGAGAGAGAGAGAGAGAGAGAGAGAGAGAGAGAGAGAGAGAGAGAGAGAGAGAGAGAGAGAGACTTGAAATTGGGGGAAGGGAGAGAGATGGGGGGAGAGAGGGGGAGAGAGACAGACAGATAGACAGAGAGAAAGGGAAAGAGAGAGAGGGAGAGAGACTTGAAATTGGGGGAGAGGGGGAGAGAAAGGGAGAGGAAAATAGAGAGAGAGGTAGTGAGGGGGAGAGAGACAGACAGATAGACAGAGAGAGAGGGAGGGAGAGAGACTTGAAATTGGGGGAGGGGGAGAGAAAGGGAGAGATAGAGAGAGGTAGGGAGAGGGGGAGAGAGACAGACAGAAAGGGAAAGAGGGAGAAGGAGGGAGGGAGAGGGAAAGAGACTTGAAATTGGGAGGAGGGAGAGAGGGGGAGAGAGGAAGGGAGAGAGAGATGGAGAGAGAGGTAGGGAGAGGGGGAGAGAGACAGAGAAAGGGAAAGAGGGAGAGGAGAGAGAGGGAGAGAGACTTGAAATTGGGGGAGAGGGAGGAGGGAGAGGAAGGGAGAGAGAGATAGAGAGGGGGAGAGAGAGACAGACAGAGAGAAAGGGAAAGAGGGAGAGGGAGGGAGGGAGGGAGACTTGAAATTGGGAGGGGGGGAGAGAGGGAGAAGAAGTGAGAGAGGGGGAGAGAGAGAGACTGACAGACAGAGAGAAAGGGAAAGAGGGAGAGAGGGAGGAAGAGAGACTTGAAATTGGGGGAGGGAGAGAGAGAGGGGGGAGAGAGAGAGATAGGTGGGGAGAGGGGGAGAGAGAGAGACAGACAGAGGGAAAGAGAGAGGGAGAGGGAGAGATGGCCAGGCCTGGGGCTGCATGGCTGATGGCTGGGAAGATTCACACTGCCTTGGTGGGTCAAAATCCCCCCCCCTTTTTTTTTGGACGGGATTATGAAAGCGGCAAATCTTAGCAGGGAGGGAGCCACAAGAGAGCAGAGGTAGAACAATCCTCCTCCTCCTCCTCCTCCTCCTCCTCCTCCTCCTCCTCCTCCGTTTAAATATCCCACCTCTGATTTTTTTCTTTTTGCTCTCCTCCCCTGCAGGCATTTAAAACCTGTGGTTGTCACAATGGACAAGCCACGCATGCTTGCTCAAAGGAGAACATTTTGCAACCGCTGCCTTGCTTTGCCAGCTTCATGCCACGTCCACACAAAGCCCCGCAAAGAGGATTAAGGGGATTGATATCAATCTTGTTGTAAAATCCTGAGACACCTGATTCTGGGCAGAATTCAAACTGGTTTCGGCGCATGTTTGTAGGCCGGGCCTTTTGCTTGCAAGCGTTGGCGGCCGGCTTAAACGGGCAATGAAACGAGCTGCAGTCAATCGGAGACATGACAATTGTTGGCCCGAGGAGGGGAGAGGCTGCAAAGACCCCCTCAGACACCAGTTGGTAGCCATAAGAGCCGGCACCCAGAGCCGTATTTCACCGCAGCAGTTCCCATCGGTGAAATCACCCACCACTTTACCATTCTTTCTTTCTGGCAGACCTACAACACCAATGCCCAGGTGCCCGACAGCGCGGGCACAGCCACCGCTTACTTATGCGGCGTGAAGGCCAACGAGGGCACCGTGGGGGTCAGTGCGGCCGTGACGCGGTCCCAATGCAACACGACGGCCGGCAACGAAGTGACCTCCATCCTCAAGTGGGCAAAAGCCGCAGGTAAGACAGTCTGGGTGGATTTGGGTGGGTGGGTGCGCCCAGGATGGGCTGTCTGGCTTCCACACAAGATCCCTCTTGAGCAGATATGTCAAACACAAGGCCCGGGTGCCAGATGCGGCCCACGAAGTGGTTTCATGCGGCCCACGAAGCCATCCTAGAAACAGTGAGGGAACGGCCCCCGCTGCCTTGGCCCTGGCCCAGGCCAGCCGGGAGCCAATGTACAATTTTGTGGTGGCCATCTATGCTGAAACGCATTCAGTCTTAGCTCCACAAGGCCGTCTGGAAACAGCAAGGAACCAGCCCCTGCCCACCCCCTGGGTGCATGCTGGGGAGGTGTCACCCTTTGTGAGGAATGAAGAAATGCACCATCGCCTGGAAGCGGCCAGCAAATGGCCCTCGCCTACTTCACCTATCCGGCTTGATGGGCTCTGCCCTGGTCCCACCCCTTTCTGCCAGAGACCCTCTGATCTGTCCCACTCCTGCCCAGGCCCCCACAGGCACCCTTGGCGTGAATGTAGAGCTGGCCATGCCCACCCAGTAGGCCACACCCCCCCCCGAGGGCAACCACAATGCTGATGCGGCCCTCAATGAAATTGAGTTTGACACCCCTGGTCTTGAGGAACGAAGGTCTTGCGAAGGACTGAACATAAAGGATCTAGAAGGTCTTGCGAAAGCTTCAGAGTTTGAAGATGGGTATGCTTGGATGGCGCCCGGTTGTCTGATAAACAATTGGCTTTTGAAATTGCTTGCCCTGCCTCAAAGTGAGGTGGCACTGCCAGCTGACCCAGGAAACAAGCTGGGGAAGTCAGCCCTGTGGCATGTTTGTATTCCTGGCCCGAGGCGCTTGTCACGGGTCCGTCGGACGTGTCGGACAGTCCCTGGCGAAAAAGCCTAGCCGTTTAAGCTCTTCCTAAAAGGTTACTGTAAACCGTCTCCAGGCGGTCGTTTGCCGTGCAAAGGAGTGCCTGGGTGTGTTTTGAAATCGCCACGAAGTGGCAAATAAGGCTAAGGCTCGGAGGAGCGTTGTGCAAAGGGCCTCATGTGCACCGCCCGTGTCCTGTAGCTAGAGAGCCAGAGATTACAAAGGCTGCAAGAAAGGGAGTGGATGATGGCTTGGGGAAAAGGGGGTAGCTGAACAACCCCAATGCCTTTGACCAGGGCTTTTCAACCTTTTCACCCATGGTACCACTTTTAGGATATGGCAACATCCACCAGTCGCCTAGCAAGGTGTCAAAAACTTGATAAAGTACAGGTAGTCCTTGACTTACAACAGTTTGCTAAGTGACTGTTCAAAGTTACAATGGCACTGAAAACAGTGCCCCCCCAAGCCACAGCGGAGCAAGACACCGGCCTGCCTGCACGGCGGCGCTCTTCCTCCTATCCGAGGTTTTCATTGTTGTGAGCATTTCTGTTGAGGATTGGCAGCGGAGATGGGGTGGGGGATGTTTGGTTTTTATTCCCCCCGTCTGCTGGGTGGTTGCAGCAGGTTTTGGTCACTTCACATGACCCTGGGACACTGTGACCGTCATAAATATGAATCTGTTGCCAAGCATCTGAATGTAAATCACAAGACCCTGGAGAGGCTGCAACATTCCAGCTGATTGGCGCTTCTTCTGGACTCAGCAGAAGTGTCAGGATCAGTGCTGCTTTCCAGCTGATTGGTACTTCTTCAGAGCTCAGCAGAAGCACCAGGATCAGCGCCGAGCTCCAGCTGGAGCCTGGCACTGATCCTGGCGCTTCCACTGAGCCCTGACAGTCCCGAAGAAGTGCCGATCAGCTGGAAAGCGGCACTGATCCTGGCACTTCCGCTGAGCCCTGACAGCCCTGCAGCTCCAGCCGTCTCTCGCTCAGGCTTGTGCGGTGCTGCCACCGGTTCAGCTCATTCCCCTCCCCCGCTACCACTTTTCTATGAGGGTCGCGTACCACCTGCCAGGGGCCAAAGTACCACAGGTGGTACCCGTACCCCTGGTTGAAAAGCCCTGCCTTTGACAATGTAAGTCCCAAGCTTGTTTGATAAGACATCCGGTATGTGTGTGTGTGTGTGTGTGTGTGTGTGTGTGCGGCAGCCAAGTCAGCACCCACAATTTCAGTGCTACGTCTGCTTCTCTCGGTCAGCTGACTGTAGCGAAGTGTGGTGTATGCAAATCAAAATCCAATACGTTGGAGGGCACCGGGCTGGCGAAAGAAGCCCGCAGAGCAGTCAGACAGCGGAAGAGAAGTTTGCCCAGTCTGCGGCAGCCTTCGCTCTCCTTGGACTTCCCCACCCACCCCCGTGGGAAAGTCCAGGGTATCCGGCTTGCAGCGTTTCTCATCAAGGCCCAGAAGCTGAAAGGAAGGATAGAGAACTTGACCTTTCTCCAAAAGGGTGAGGTTGGCATTGAACGTGGGACAGGAAGGTGGCGACGTGTGGAACGTGGCCTTGCATCCTTGCTCCGTGCCGTCAGAGCAGTGCGATGGATCCATCCCCGGTTGGTGACAACAGCCCTGGAGAGGAAGGGCTGTTGTTCAACCCACAGCCTCGCTGGGGGAAGGTGGGAAAAATCCCTGCGCACAAGGGGAAGGGGGGGGGAAATCAGGTGCTTCTGCCCGCTCGTCTCTTCCCCGCACAACTTCGCTTCCGTCACCCAGCTTCCTGGCCTGCAGCTCGGGCTGTTCCTGTGGTTAACCACCATCTCACTCTGAAGTTAAGAGACCTAGCTTTGAAAGAGGAAAACCAAGCGAGTGTCAGGCTGGAGAGGGTGATAGTGATTGCAGAAGCCGTGGAAATAGCGGGGAAGATGTTCAGGGTATTCCTTTCCTGGCCAGGGGAATTCTAGATTAGCAGCAGGATCCAGGCCAGGAGTTGGCGAGGCTGTTGCTTAATAGCTTCCAGTAAAACAGGGGTCCCCAACCTTTTCTATACCCCGCGCCCCTGGAACGCTCCTGATATATTCTCGCGCCCCTTACAAAAGTAATACCTGGTTATGCACGTACACTATAATTTTGAAACTTTTTTGCACCCCCTGGAACAGTGGTTCTCAACCCGTGGGTCGGGACCCCATTTGGGGTCGAACGACCATTTCACGGGGGTCGCCAAACAACGCAGTCCGCCATTTTTTTCCCCTTTTCCTTAGCTGGGCTACTCCCTTTTTTTCTATTGGCTTTTGAAAGCCAATAGAATAGACTGTCTTGAATAGAGTCTAATTCTATTGGCTTTCCAAAGCCAGTAGGAATTGTCCAGGCTGTCTCTGCCCTGCTGATCCCGCCAAAAGTCCCAGTCTGCAAATGGGGCTGCACCAGTTTAGTAGTCCTCGACTTACGACCGGTTGGGGGGTCGCGGCATTAAAAAGGTTGAGAACCACTGCCCTGGAATATCGTCTCGCACCCCAAAAGGGGTGCAAGCACCCCCAGTTGGGAACCCCTGCAGTAAAGGAAAGAAAGGAAATAATTGGCTTAAGAGAAACAACCAAGGATGAGAAGGAGGGGTATTGGATATGCTGACATGCCCGTGAAATCCACACGGGTAAATGGGTACAATTCAGCTGAGCAGGGAAGGAAATAAAAAGTATTCCTAGCAATTTAGATTTTCAGAGGAATTACTTCATGTCGCTGGTGATAGAGGCTCCTCTCCTGGTAGGCACAGACCCACAGATAACCTTGGAGATGTTTGATAAAATGGAATCAGAAAGAAGGCCCTTCTCCTAGCTAAGATTTGCAGAAAATAGATAAAACACCTGGGAGAAGGTTTAGCACAGGGGTCTTCCAACTTGGCCCTTTGATGACTTGTGGACTTCAACTCCCAGAACTCCTCAGCCAGCCTCCATTTTGTTTGCTAGATTTAAGACAGGGGTCTTCCGACTTGGCCCTTTGATGACTTGTGGACTTCAACTCCCAGAATTCCTCAGCCAGCCTCCATTTTGTTTGTTAGATTTAAGACAGGGGTCTTCCAACTTGGCCCTTTTATGATTTGTGGACTTCAACTCCCAGAATTCCTCAGCCAGCCTCCATTTTGTTTGCTAGATTTAAGACAGGGGTCTTCTGACTTGGCCCTTTGATGACTTGTGGACTTCAACTCCCAGAATTCCTCAGCCAGCGTGCCTGGCTGAAGAATTCTGGGAGTTGAAGTCCACAAGTCATCAAAGGGCCAAGTCGGAAGACCCCTGGTTTAGCACCTCCAACGTTGGAATGAAAAAAGCAAGGCTCACCTGCTGCTAAAGAAATGTTCATAATTGTGGTTGCTGAATAAGCCAGCCCTGGCTGCCTTAACGCATGACATTAAGGCATGACAACCGCGGTCTGTAAACCACGGGGAGGGGTCCACGGGACACTAAGCCACAGCAAACCGCCAAGAACCGTGGCCACCTCACAGACCAACTGGCCTGCCTGAACCAAGGAAATTCCTCCAGGCTACAAAAAGCAGACGAGAAATCCGCTCACTTTCTCTGTTGGTAAAAAGCACAGTCAGAATTGTTTCTGTCGTGGCTTCTTCTTCTTCTTTTAAAAAACCTTTTTAAACAGTATTCTGTGCACTCTAAGCAGCCAAATTTCAGAGGTGAGATAAACATTAAATCTCTGGTTAAATGCTCAGCGGGGATTTATTAACTAGCTGGCATTCAAAGGTTAGAGCTTGACATAGCTGTCTTACTTCAGGGTCTCGCTTGACAGAGAGTCAAAATCCGCAAGTACAATAAACGTTGGGATGTTTTTCCCCCCTTCCAGCTTCCCCACGTGGGGGGGCAGGGGAGGGTGGGAAAGCAGAGGGGAGGCTAAGTAGAGACAGATCCCCATTGTTCTTTCCATAAGCGCAGCAAGACCACCCACAGCACAGCGTTTAGCTAAGAGATCAAAAACGGTTCAGCCAAGCTGATAAACTTTTGGGAAAGGCTGAGCCCCTTGCAGAGAAGGAGTTGGTTTAGCCGAGCAGCCAAGAAAAAGGTTGGCACTGCAGCCAGGAGCCCTGCCCGCGCCTGGCATCCTCCCAGCTGGTGGCAGGGGGCCGAGGTGGCTGTCCCCAGGAGACCCCAAATCCCCTGTGGTGGCGGTGATTAATGTGCTTTTTTATTCCTCCGGCCGGTAGGCAAATCTGTGGGCATTGTCACCACCACCCGCGTCAACCACGCCACGCCGAGTGCCGCTTACGCGCACTCGGCCGACCGGGACTGGTACTCGGACAACGAGATGCCCCCGGAAGCGCTTCAGCAGGGCTGCAAAGACATCGCCCACCAGCTGTTTGAAAACATCCCGGACATTGAGGTGAGTCCAGAGGGAGAGGCCAGCAAAGCTGGAGAGGGGAGGGGGCTGCAAGCAGACAGCCGTAGACTTTGGGTAGGTCCAGTGTGCCGTTTCTCCTCCTTTGATGGCTCTCGGGGGATGAAGACCCTCCAGGGGTCTTATCCAGGCAAAGGGGGACGGGCGATGTGACAGGCGCTGCCTTCCGTTTGAGCAACGGGTGGTCGCCGCCTTCTCTGCGTTGGGAGCAGCAGGAGGCGGCTTTGGTGAGCAGACCAAGAAGCCCCATCAGCATCCGGGCCTGGGTCTGCTTTGTTGCATTTTGAACCCAGGAGCTGGGAATGGGATGGAGGCTTCCTGTTGGATCCTCCGCCAGGCGAAAAAACCCAGTGAGTGAAACGCTGGGCCTCAGTTTCACCCGCGGAGCTCTGTTCTTCGTTCTTCTCTGCCTCTCACGCAGGGAAGACCACCCTTCCTTCCTTCGGAGTCATGGTCTTGGTTGGCCTCCGTGTGCCCAGTTTCGGCAGTCAAGCCATCTCCCCCGTTGGGCTGTGGATCATTGTCTTGTGGATCACGGCCAAGAGCGTCTTTCTGGGCCAGGATTTTGACCCTTCCTTCTGCTAAAAATGGTATCTCCAACGAGGCTCGGACCAAGATGGCCATGGGTCACGTTGAGTTCTTCCATGAGACCAGCTGGCTCCTGTGGGGATGGAAGGAAGCTTGGGAAAGAAAGGGATGGAAGAGGCTTGTGGGGAGGGACACCTGCCTCCTGATGACCCACAAGGAGACGCTAGTTGAGCAAAGAGCCCTTCCAGTGCGACCAGCTTGGTTTGCTTTCTTGAGTCCAAGCTGGTTAAATGGTGAGGGAGAAAATGTGCAGAGGCAGGCAGCTGCCCCAGAGCCAGGATGAGGGGGGCTGAATAACCTTGACAGCCACAGATATTTCCTTTGGCCAGACCCCCCCCCCAACTCCTATTGGTCTCTTTTCTTTGCTCTGCTCTGCATCTTCCAGTCTTGACTCTGGGGTTTTCAACACCCCAGCTCTACTATAAACACGAAGTTGATATACGAGCATGAGGAAAACCACCCACATTAAACAAAAGTTCCTGGTTTGTTTTTTTAAAGAAAAAAACACTCTCAATTATAGGTTGCAAAATTGCTTATTAATAGCTTGGATCTGTCTTTCTCGTAATGTAATAAGAGCACGGGTGTTCCTGGAAAAATTTCGCTTCGGATTTACGACATTTCAGAATCTCAGCATGAGTAATTCTTCGCCTTTGATTTCTGCTGCTCATTTAAATCATGAGGCTTTTGATGGCAGCTTGGATCTGGTTCCTCATATTTCAAGCATTCTTCCCGGCCCAGATAGGGGAAGAGGGAAGAGAAAAAAAATGCCAAGTTTACTGAGGAATCACCAAATCGCCTTTGGTCATTCTGGAATGGCAGGATCTTCTAAATGAACACGGCATAAAAAAAACGTTAAGGACCGCAGCCTTAATCCACTGCACAAATTAATTCCAGCTCGTGATGCTCTAGGAACACGCCCTTTGGAACCTGGACGATTACATAAAACCTTTATAAAAAAAAAATAAACTTTCGTGACCGGGCAACTGTTGTAACTTTAATGAGTTTCTAATGTGCCTGAAATGAAATCTTTTTGGTTCGGCCCAAGTAGACAACCGGAACAATATCCCCTTGTTTAATTGCGTTTGTGTGCTAATTCCACTCCGGCGACCTCCTGCCCTCGTCCTGAGGCCCAGAGCAATTTTTTGCAGCGGACTTTGAAGCCTCCGGTTTTTGCCTGTCTCAAAGCTGGCAAAGGCTTCTTTCGGTGACACCTGAAGATAACCTTCCAGAAATGTCCTTCTTCGGAGCTGAGAACACTCCTAGGGCGGGCACCCGCTTCCAAAAAAGTGTGCCAGGGCTGAGTTCAGTAAAAACAGGTGCCTCTTCGTACCAGTTTGAAATGGGGAGCTGTGCCAAGGGGGTGCTGGGTGGTGAAGCGGACCGCAGCGTCAGAACGGCAGCCTGGGAGGCAGGTTGACCTTTGATCCAGGCCATTGACAGCAGAACAGAACAAGGACATCTCAATCCGAGCCCAGCCGCTCGGCTTTCCCAGGAGTGACACCCGGTCCAGAGAGAGGATGCAGCAACCTCTGTTGACAACGCTTCTTCCTCGCTTCACCGGAGCAGACGGCGGCATTGGTGGGTCTCAAAAGGAGCCGTGCACCTTTTCATTTCCAAACGGCTCGTTTGGGTTGCTGGATTTACCTCTCCCCCAGGTAAAGATTTGCTTGGCTGATCCCTGCATCTGGCAGTGTCCGACCAGCATTTGGATTCCGTAAAACGACCAAGCATCAGGAGTAGAAAGCAGGCAGGTCAGCGTGTCAATCCGCATAAGGAAGGAGAGGCCGCTGGGAGGACAGGGAAGAGAATGGGGCAAAAGGCACCCGGAGTGCAGAAGCTCATCGGACACAAAGCAGGAATTCTTAGAAGGAATGATCCTGGATTATCCCAGAGGCCATTCCCAGACTCTGCGGCCTTGCCGGGAACTCAATTTCCCATGAGCAGAAGTCTCACTCCTTCCACTGGTTATGAAACCCTGGACTGGCACGGGGCCAAGAGGCCCTAAAACAGCTACTGTCCCTTCCCAACGCCTGGCTCAACCCTGGCGCACAACTGGCCATCCCAGCTGCTTCCGGGTGCCGGGAGCTGCGACTGTCCTCCACGCAGCCCTTGGCACCAGGTGCCCCTTGAGGCCACAGTGCCACTGCCCTTTGGGTTGAGGCTGGCCGGCCAATGGCCGTGCCTGTTTTGCTGCCAACGTCAGCCCGTGGAATCTGGCAGCTCATTTTTCTGGGGGGTAAATAAATAGGTGTGTCTTTCCGTTTGAAAACAAACCCTCCGAAAAAAGGAGATCTAAATCTGTCGTTTAAGTAGCTTAATAGGGCCATTTTTTTATAATTTTAACTTTGTTCCTAGGCTGGAAATAATTATACCTTAGGCAGCCAATTCTATTTAATATAGATCTCTCGGTGTGTAATTATTATGATTATTTCGCTGGGGCTGCAGTTTTCGTGATTCACCTTCTAAGACTCTAAATCCGAAGAGGAGGCTGGAGCGCCAGCCGAAAGGGACTGTGGTCAAATAAATATGTTTTCCATCCAGGCCGCCTCAGATGCTTGCCCAGCTGAATTAAAATCCTCTTCATTGGGGGAAAGAGACTGAAGGCGCCAACCCAGCCCTTGGACAGTGTTCAGGTTGCCTCAAATTGCTCGTGGGCGCTTTCCCGTAGCTGCAGCCAAATCCCTGGCTGGGTAAAAGCTGCCAGGCCAGCGTCAGAAGGGATGGAGGCCTCGCTGTGCCGTCACGGGGAAGCCTCCCCATCGCAGAGCCCATGTTTCTGGACCCCATCTCTCCCCTCCCTGATGCCCTGCCCTCCTATCCTGCAGGCTTGATGGTGGGAGGGGGCTGCCTTAACTGGCCTGCGCACTTTGGCACCAGCCTCCTTCTGTCTCTCCCACAGGTCATCATGGGGGGAGGCCGGAAGTACATGTTCCCCAAGAACACGAGCGACGTGGAATACCCGGATGAGGAGAAGTACAAGGGGACCCGGCTGGACAACAGGAATCTGGTCCAGGAGTGGGGGGACGCCAAGCCCAAAGACAAGGTGAGGGGGCAGCCGGCCAGCTCGGCAAAACGGTTGCTGATCCCGATGGATGCAGGGCTGGGAAGAGAGGAGGTGGCAAATTCTCGTTCAGGTGCCGCCTCGGCATCAGAGATCCGTCCAGGAGAAAACTCAGGAGCTCCTCTATGTCTCCCTCCTCCTCCTCTGAGTGGTGGGCTGCTCCAGGAGAGATCCACTGAGGATCGCTCGAGTAGTCTCCGGGGATCCTCTCTTCGGCCTGACGCTCCTGAGCCACAAACTCCCTTTGTGGGCCGCCCTAGCCGTACTTAGAGGGCGAGGGGGGCAGGGACGCCGCTGCCAAAACCTTCAGCTAAGCCCCTCCCCTTTTCTCCTCTTTTCCCAGAATGCCCTCTATGTATGGAACCGGGCGGCGCTGATGGAGCTGGACCCAGCCAAAGTCGACTACCTCTTGGGTGAGTTTGGCAGATGGATAAAATTAAGGGGGGAAAACAAAAAAGGCTGAAGGGATCACTTAAGGATTTGGGCATGTCGTTTGCCCTCCAGTGTGCGATGAATTTCCGGGCAATTCAAAGCCCTACGAAGCCATAATAATAATAATAATAATAATAATAATAATAATAATAATAATAATAATAATTGACAGATTCGCTATTAGTCAATTGCAAAAGGCAGCCTTACTAGGAACTGCTTCCATCCTGCGACGATATCTGTAATACCATCAAACATCCACATCTGCCTATCCCAGGTCCTGGGTAAGGACTCGATAGGTAGACAAAATGCCAAATCCAGTCTGAACATCTGGCTGACTGTGCGATGATCCAATAATAATAATAATAATAATAATAATAATAATAATAATAATAATAATAATAATGTTGGAAGGGACCTTGGAGGTCATCTAGTCCAACCCCCTGCTCAGGCAGGAAACCCTATACCCTTTCAGACAAATGGCTGTCCAGTCTCTTCTTAAAAACTTGCTCTCCCATTTTTGCTTAATGGGGAGGGGGGGGAATACTGAGGAGGCAGTCCGTTTTGGCTTGCGGGTAATTAATTGCTGCAAGTTCTACTCTCCGTGTGAGACGTTCCTCTTGAAAAGAGGTGCGTTAACTCAGGGCTTTTCAACCTTTTCACCCATTGTGCCACTTTTAGGATATGGCAACATCCGAGTACCACCAGTCGCCTAGCAAGGGGTCAAAAACTTGATGACCAAAAAAAAAGGGGGGGGAAGGTGATAAAGTACAGGTAGTCCTCGACTTACAACAGTTCGCTTAGTGACTGTTCGGAGTTACAATGGCACTGAAAACAGTGCCCCCCAAGCCACAGCCGAGCAAGACACCTACCTGCCTGCCTGCACGGCGGCGCTCTTCCTCCTGTCCGAGGTTTTCATTGTTGTGAGCATTTCTGTTGGGGATTGGCAGCGGAGATGGGGTGGAGGGTGTTTGGTTTTTATTCCCCCCCATCTGCTGGGTGGTTACAACAGGTTTGGTCACCTCACATGACCCTGGGACACTGTGACCATCATAAATATGAATCAGTTGCCAAGCACCTGAATGTACATCAAAGACCCTGGAGAGGCTGCAACATTCCAGCTGATCGGCGCTTCTCCTGGGCTCAGCAGAAGCGTCAGGATCAGTGCTGCTTTCCAGCTGATTGGTGCTTCTTCAGGGCTCAGCAGAAGCACCAGGATCAGCGCCGAGCTCCAGCTGGAGCCCGGCACTGATCCTGGCGCTTCCGCTGAGCCCTGACAGTCCCAAAGAAGCGCCGATCAGTTTGAAAGCAGCACTGATCCTGGCGCTTCCGCTGAGCCCTGACAGCCCCGGAGAAGCGCCGATCAACTGGAAAGGGGCACCAATCCTGGCGCTTCCGCTGAGCCCTGACAGCCCTGCAGCTCCAGCCGTCTCTCGCTCAGGCTTGTGCGGTGCTGCCACCAGTTCAGCTCATTCCCCTCCCCCGCTACCACTTTTCTAGGATGGTTGCGTACCACCTGCCAGGGGCCAATGTACCACAGGTGGTACCCGTACCCCTGGTGGAAAAGCCCTGTGTTAAGGAGCCCAAGAGAGGATGGGCAGCTGAGTGTTGGCATCCTGTCAGGGAGAAAGGAGCAGGGTTAGAGACCCTCACAGGAGTGGCAGCAGCCAGAACATGCAACCGTGCACACAGCAGTTCATCCCCAGGCCAGGAAGACGCTGAAGGGCAGCAGCTGGAGGGAGGGTGGGGGTCCTGTTGGAACCCCACTCCCCTCTCCTCCGCTGCCTGGGCTGGCACGTCCTGGGCAGCTCTTGCCAAATCATCCCCCAATCCTCTGCAGGTCTCTTTGAGCCCATCGACATGATGTACGAACTGAACAGGAACAACCAAACCGACCCTTCCTTGACCGAAATGGTGAGGGTGGCGATCCGAATGCTGCAGAAGAACCCCCGTGGATTCTTCCTCCTGGTCGAGGGTGAGCCACGGGAAGGGGGAACGCCGTGGCTGCTGGGTGGGGAGGGACTGAAGAGGGCTGGGGGAACCGAGGTGGGAATTCACCCTCTCGTTGTCTGAAGGCGGCAGGATTGACCACGGGCACCACGAGGGGAAGGCGAAGCAGGCCCTCCACGAGACGGTGGAAATGGACCGAGCCATCGGCGAGGCTGGCATCCTGACCTCTTCCGAAGACACCTTGACGGTGGTGACCGCGGACCACTCCCACGTCTTCACCTTTGGGGGCTACACAACCCGTGGCAACTCCATTTTCGGTAGGGGATGTCTCCGTGAACTGGCGCCCCTAACCCTGTGTGAATGTTTTGAGTTCTTGGTCGGCAAAATGCCCTTGGATAGCAGAGGACGCAGTTCTCTCGGGGAAAGCGAAACTTTTGGGGTACATTATGGTGCTAGCTGGTGCCACAACACTGGGCCTCCCTCGCCCTGGGCGAAAGGGGCCTGGGAAGTATTTGTTATTGTTAGTTGCGAAGTCGTGTCCGAGCCATCCCATGGACAACGTTCCTCCAGGCCTTCCTGTCCTCTGCCATCTTCTGGAGCCCTTTAAGCTCACGCCTCCTGCTTCAGGGACTCCCTCCAGCCACCTCATTCTCTGTCGTCCCATTCTTCTTCTCTTGCCCTCCATCTTTCCCAGCATTAAGCTCTTCTCCAGTGAGTCCTTCCTTCTCATTAGGTGCCAGCTTAATGCCAGGATCAACCTTTTAATGTCCACGTAGAGACAGGCCCCAAAGAGGTTGTGGGAGAAACATTAGTAAAGATGGCTTCCTCTTTGTCTAGGGCTGGCCCCGATGCAGAGCGACATGGACAAGAAGCCCTTCACTTCCATCCTGTACGGAAACGGACCCGGGTACAAAATTGTAGCCGGAGAGAGAGAGAACGTCTCGGCGGTCAATTTCAGTGAGTATCAGTCCATAGTTCCCCCTCTCCCTTCCAGGGTTCAACGGGACTTGTTTGTTTCCAGAAGGCCATCTAGAGTGGCTGTTTGACCAGTCCAAATCAGATTTCGGAAGGATCAGCCGTGGTGCTCGTCCCACCAAGAGTAGCCAGGCTGTCTTTTCTCCCTTGCCTGCTCCTCAAATGCCAACGGGCATCAGCATATCCTGTCTTCCTTCGTCTTGTTCCCCTCACTCCATGGGGCACTCACCTTCTCTCTCTCTCTCTCTCTCTCTCTCTCTTTCTCTCTCTCTCTCTCTCTCCGCAGCCGATACCAACTACCAGGCGCAGTCAGCCGTCCCGCTGCGCATGGAAACGCACGGAGGGGAGGACGTGGCCATCTTCGCCAAGGGCCCCATGGCTCACCTCCTCCACGGGGTCCACGAGCAGAACTACATACCCCACGTGATGGCCTACGCAGCCTGCATCGGCGAGAACCAGGCGCACTGCCACTCGGGCGCGCCAGGCAGCCACTCTGGGTCCGTCCCTCTGATGTCGGCCATCTTCTCCGTTCTCCTGCTCCGAGTTTTGTTCTAAAGGCTCTGCTCCTCAGACTCTCTGGATTGAGGCTTTTGCCTGCTTTTGAGATTTCCAGCCTCAAATATCCCTCGCAGGGTTTCTGGCTTCGTGGTGGGGAAAAACCACAATGGACAGCTTGACTTAATTCCCAAGGAACTACTCCGCTCTGGAACAGGATGATCTGTGGCGCCAGGATCGGTGCCAATCGGAGCGGCTGGAAACGCTGGGATATATTTTTTTCCCTTATTCCTCTTAAATGAAGAGAAGGGTTTGTCCCACTGGATCAGGACAGACCGTGCGGGCCTGGCTTATCTTGACAGACCTTAGGCATCTACAGGCCTTGCAAGGTTCCTGGTGTCCCTCAAACTCTTCCAAAACCAATTCAGAACAGAAATACGAGCTTGGCTGCCCGTTCTGACCCACTTTGGCTGTTAAGTGGTGGAACTCAGAGGCCATCACATCTGTCCCCATCGGCCACGCCTTAATTGGAGCCCTGAAAAATTTCCAAGCCGCTTCCCAGTAGGGTCCCCCAAGAAAGGAAGTCACTAGAGAGCTCCAGGCAAGGATGATCCAGGGCACAAAGCCCATAAATTACCAAAACCCATAAAAAGAAGAGCTGTGTCTCTGGAGATGTCCTCCACCCCAATCAAGTCAGGTTTTTCTGCTGTCAGTAGCTGGAACGGGACGTCCTGTTCTAGCCATTCTGACGCCTTTAAAACGGGTCGCCCTTTTTTCACCCTCCACCGCCAAGAATTACGACTGAAGCAAATGAAGTTCTGCAAAAGGGAGGGCTCCGCCCCAGGGGAAGGCATAAAATTAAGTGGGAAGATGGCAGAGGGTGCCACCGTAATAAGCCAGGGAAGGCCCTGACGCGAAGGCTGTCTCTGTGGCGCACCGTGGTTTGTAAAGTCTCGGCTTGCAGATTAGCACAAGGTACAAAACCCAGTTACTGTATGCAGCCGCTTCCGCAAAAATCGGGCTTCGCTTGATGGGTGGGCAGAAACAACTGCAAGAGTCCATCCTGGAGGGAAGGTGTGTGTGGGAAAGGGACTGCGAATATGAGGGCCGCGATGTAAATCTCTATGTGGGAGGGACGCCCCTTGCAAACTGGTCCTGCCCGTTCAGAAGGCTGGGAGGGGGAAGGAGAAGACAACTGGCGGGGGCAGCTGCCCTCCACAAAACGGGGGGGGGGACTAAATTGAAGTCAGACAGGTCTTGGCAGTGGACGTCCCACCTGGAGGTCAGACCCTCGCTGGCCCTTCACCTTGAGCAATTCCTTCTCTTTTCTGTTCCTTCTCACGAGTTGTAGATTCAGGGCAACCAAAGGACATCTCTTGTCCCTCAGCTGGTCCTTATCTCCACGGAGGTCATTTCCACAAGACGCCCTGGAAGCCACGATGGATGGGCAAAGAGTTGTCTTTCAAGGCTGTGCATGGAGGAGGAAGAGGTGGGAAGGCTGGTCTTCTCTGACCATCTTTGAATTTCTCCAGAGGTTTCTGGTGGCTGCAGAACACCACGCTGGACTCCGGTCATCGCTGGTTAGGATCCAGCTTGGCTTCTCACAGCTCTTCCAGTCATCCACTTCAGCTTCCTGGCCGTTGGCAGGGAAGGAGTGTAGGAAAAGGAGTCGGTGGCACTCAGCAGCCTCTTGGCCCTCCGCAGGGACAGGACCATCACCTCTCGCTGCCTCTTTGGCAGGGCAAAGTCTTAAAAGCACATGGAGATCTTCGCCTTCAGACAGAGAAAGCCTCAGACGAGGCTTGGAGGAAGGTAACGCTTCTCTGCCAAAGAAAAGCAGCCCAGATTGACTGGCAGGAACACGGGCAGCGTCCACCTTGGGCGAGAGATCTGTGGGAGTCGCTCTCACTTTAAAAAAAAAAAAAATCTCTAAATTGATTTTTCCCCCCTTTTGTTTGCATAACTTTTGAAAAATTGAAATTCAGGGGAAGGAGGAATCTAAAATAAAATTATGTTGGACCGGCTGTTTTGAAGGAAATGGGCACTTTCCCGCGGAACAGCAAGTATCCAGGACCACAGCTCTAATTTGGGGAACAGCTGTAGAGAAAGGGATGGGAAAGCCATCTGCTTTCACAAAGGAGCGTGTCAACACTGCTAATGAAAGAGAGTTCTTCCAAAGCTTGGGAGCGACCTCCTTTCTCTGCTCGGTTGTGCCATCCGTTTCCGGATGTTGAGTCGGAGCCTGTCCTTCTAGCTCCGTTCACATGTTTCCAAGAAAGAACAGGCCAAGAATGGCCCCAGAGATCGGTGCAATCTCCCCAAACCTGCCCAACGAGGAAACGAGTTCCTAAAGAAATCCCACCCTTGGCTGTTCTGTTAGACCAAGGGTGTCAAACTCATCATGTCACGACGTGTCGCGATATGTCGCGACTTTTTCCGCATTGCCGAAGCTGGGTGCAGTTTCGGCATGATGCATCCGGCCTGCGGGCCAGCAGTTTGACACCCCTGCGCTAGACCATCCTCTGGGGGGGGGGCTGATGTGTTGCCAAGGGGCTTGGGGGGCTGTAATTGTGGGTCATGTGCAGAGTAGCATTCTGAGGAGATTCAGAAATTTGCCCTTAGAGGCTGGTGGCTTGCAAGTCACACCTCCCCAGTGGAATCTGGGATGTTTCAACGCCTGGGCTGGCAGGCAGAGGGAGGGAGAGGGGCGCATTGCCTTGCTGGCCCCAGAGCCCCCATTACTGAGGACAAGGGTTGGGAAACACCCCCTCGTCTGGGGTGCTGCAGAGCTGCTGGCCAAGCAGAGTCAACAACGCTGGACGGAACAGAGGAGCGTCTGATTGGGCACCTTAATAAATACATTTATTCCTATATTTATGGTTAGTGGTTTCGCCCTCCCGAGTCCCACAAGGGCAGCCATGCACAGAACACTAGTCAAACGGCGTCAGCAACTGAAAATGACAAATAACAGGGCAGGAGCTGCGCAAATGTAAACCTGCTCATGGGGCAGCGCAGGGCAGGGGGCAGCAACCAACGGACGACAGATTGCAGGCAGCTCGGGGGCCCCTCGGATCAGCAAAGCCCCCTGCCCAACAAGGGGGGCTCCTGGGGCCAGTCGAGGTCCAGAATCGCTCCTTAGGGCCCCGTATCATTTCCCAAGAGAAGCAGAGCTTCAAGTCTTGTTAGCGGAATTGCCTTGAAAACATCTTCCTGCTTTCCTTCCCGGGACACATTGGGCCGGTGGTCAAAGGAGGGGCATCTCAGAGGGGAAGTGCCGGATACTGACCCCCCCCTCCGAGCACAGGCCATTCCCCTCCCTTTTGCGCTGTGTCTAAATTAGCCACAACCAAGCACAATTTTCTCCTTCTGCTAAAGTTTGCTTAGGCTCCTGGCCAGAGGGAACATCGCAACCGCTGCTGGCCGAACGCCTCAGTGGAAAGTTCAGAGTCTCAGGAACAGCAGCTCTGGCACCTGGTGTCTCAGCTGGACAGGAGCCCCCCCCCCGCAGAAGGGATGGCGCTGCTGGCCCTCCCCGGCTCTGGGAACAGGCGGCCTCATCCATCTCACCCGGAGAGGTGCTGCGGACGCTTCCCAAACAGATGTTGACAAGAGGGGAACGCGCGAGGAGCGTGGATTGGTCGTGGAGGGTTATACCTTCTTCTGCTGGAATCTGGTTTGGGGAATTGTGCAGCCCCAGAAGGCCTTTCGCTCTTCTTGGCCACATCCAGACCCCCTTTGCAATTACGGCCCTGAAATGAAAATTCCAGATTGATTTTGTCTACACTCTACAACAGTGGTTCTCAACCTGTGGGTCGGGACCCCATTTGGGGTCGAACGACCATTTCACGGGGGTCACCAAACAACGCAGTCCGCCATTTTTTTCCCCTTTTCCTTAGCTGTGCTACTCCCTTTTATTCTATTGGCTTTGGAAAGCCAACAGAAGAGACTCTCTTGAATAGAACCTAATTCTATTGGCTTTCAAAAGCCAGTAGGAATTGTCCAGACTGTCTCTGCCCTGCTGAGCCCGCCAAAAGTCCCATTCTGCAAACGGTGCTGCATCAGTTGAGTAGTCCTCGATTTGCGACCGGTTGAGTAGTCCTCGACTTACGACCGGTTGGGGGTCACGGCATTAAAAAGGTTGAGAATTACTGCTCTACATGATGCCGTCAGCCAGTCAGATTCTGGGAAGCAGCGGCCTGCGCCTGCCTTAATTCCAGGCACGGACATTGGGACAAACCCCAAGCCATACTAGAGCCACCTCTGTGTCCTCAGATGCCACTTGGGCCCTTCTGTTCAGGCGGCTCTGGGGTGGAGGGGCTCAAGAGAAGCCCCTGCTTGCACATCCCCTCCTGGGGGGGCACAAAGGGGCAGGGGGGCAAGGAAGAACGGGCCCTTTTCTTGGTCCACTCTGGCTGGGCAGATGTCCTTCAAGACAGCCGAGGCCACAAGGGCTGCTGCTGGCTCCGCCCCACAAGCAGGCCACCGGGGACGATGGGTCCTCCCCACCCGGCCTCAAATGCCTTGTGGTTATCGGTCCGTTTCCGCCAGGTCTCCTGACCCAGAGCCAGCCATCCCTGCGGGCAAAGGGGACAGGCCAGGACTGACCAGCTTCACCGTCTCCCATCTGTCCGCCGAAAGTCAGGTCTCCAAAGCAGCCTGGCCACCAATGAGGTTTGCTTCTGAGACTTTGCCCTCTGCAGAAACCCCTCTCTTTTTTTTTGGCCTTTTCCAACCTCTTCTTGTCAGAAGTGGGGTTAAACCGAGTCTTTCCCGGCAGACGGTACCCAAGGCAACCATGTGCGGCTTGGAGGGAGAGGCTAGCCGGACCACCGACTGACCACCAGGAGCCCCGGCCAGCTGGATTGGCAGCCTGAGTGGGGACAGATTTGTTCAGTGGGAGCGTTTGGATAAATGTTTATTTCCAAAGGGCAGGTGTCCAGGGAGGTGAAAAGGGGCCAACAGGCTCCGGTGAGAGGAGGAATTGGATGGCCAGATAAGAGAGGGTGGCAGCAAAGTGGTCGTGCCAACGCTGGCGCTTAGCCTGCTGCCCGGAGAAGAGGCCGGTGCCCCTTCCAAAACCAACCAATCAGCTCATTCTGAAGGGCTGGCAAAGCTGGACACAGGAAGCCTCTGTCCTCTCTGAGCCGTCAAGTCAGGCTGCCCGGGCACTAAGAATAGCAACTGGACAGGAGACGGAGAAGTGCCCTAAAAAGCACTTTTGCGGACTTGCTCTTTGCAACGTCAAGCACGAGCTCTCCTCCGACGCCAGCGGCAGCACGTGGCACACGCACAGCGGGATCCTGGTGTTTTGGGAGAGCTGGAGCTACCTTCCCCTAGGCACCTTGGCACCTCACCACGATGTAAAAAAAGATGTTGGGACTCTAGAAAGAGTGCAGAGCAACAAAGATGATTAAGGGACTGGAGGCTAAAACATACAAGGAACGGTTGCTGGAATTGGGGATGTCTAGTTTAGTGAAGAGAAGGACGAGGGGGGACATGAGAGCAGTCTTCCAATCTCTCAGGGGCTGCCCCAAAGAAGAGGGAGTCAAGCTGTTCTCCAAAGCGCCTGAAGGCAGGAGAAGAAGCTTCTTGGATGAGAAACTCATCAAGGAGAGAAGCAACCTGGAACTAAGGAGAAACTTCCTGACAGTTAGAACAATTAACCAGTGGAACGACCTGCCTCCAGAAGTGGTGAATGCTCCAACACTGGAAGTTTTTAAGAAGAGATTGGACAGCCATTTGTCCGAAATGGTGTAGGGTTTCCTGCCTGAGCAGGAGGTTGGACTAGATGACCTCCAAGGTCCCTTCCAACTTTTTATTATTATTATTATTATTGTTGTTGTTGTTGTTAGTTGAATTAGGAGATGCAGAGTTGGGTTCAGAGAGTGCCCAGAAATAAAATAAAATAGAAAGCAGCCACAGGTGGTTTTCTTTCGACACCCAGAAAATGCTCACCAGATTTGTTGACAGGAATAAAACAAAGCCGGTGGGCCGGGAGCTGTAGCAAGGGCAGGGCTGAGAGGGCAGGAGATGAAACCAAAATCAACCCTCCTTTGGGTTGGAACGAATGACCACCATGGGCTCTTTCCTTTTTATCTCTCTCTGATGGCTGAGCTTGGAGAGGCCACAGTGCCTTTATCTTTCCTCGCAGTTTCCTGCAACAATTTACAATACTGGAGTTAACTGCAAGGCTTTTCTCAGAAAAATCAAGTTTCTAAAATAATAATAATAAACCCAAACCACTTGGCAAGGGACCGAATGCAAACCAGTTTCCAGCCAACAGTGGGTGGAGTTCCCCCACAGGACCAGACGAATCCCCCCGACTTTCAAGCCCAGACCGGATCACCTCATATCCACCGGTTCTTTTCTTACAGCGCCTTTGGACCCCAGAAGGAGAAAACGCTGCACTTTAAAACGATTTATCTGGCCCATTGACAAGCCAAGGCAACCACTGGCTTGAATCTGATCCCGCTGGAACTGCTGCCATCCCTGAGACTGACAGAGTGTGCCTTCAAATACTGGTTTATTTCTTCACCCTTCTTCGCACATTATTAACCTGGGGAATTTCCTGCCCCAGTTGTCACACATTTAGGTGGTTTTCAAGGTGGATTACCTGAATCTGGCCTGTTAAGGGGTCCCTCACCTTATAAAAGAGGGGCGGGCAATTGGATCCTGCTTAGGCCCTCTGCAGGGGAGGGAGGAAGGGGCTGAGACAGAAACGTGATCTCCTGGTGGTGCTTTTTTTTGGGGGGGGGGCTGTACTCATCCCAAAGCATCAATGCTGAGATTCACACAAAGGCAGAACAAAGCAAAACTGGTTGTCATTTCTCCTGGGTGGGCTCCTCACCTCCAGGTAAACAGCAATTTGCTCAGCACCAGGTAGATTAAAGGGGAAAGTACTGAATCCCAACCTGCAACCCAGGCAGAGAGGGGGGCTGTCGTGGTGCGGATGTTCACCATTAAAAAGCACAAAGCACAAAATACTATCTTAAACAGAGAGAGGGGGGCTGGTGGGGACTACCGCACAGGGTGGCCTATTGCTGGAAGTCTCCTTGCATCACAAACCACAAACCCCTTTGGCAACACACACACACACACACACAAGGAAAGCAAGGGAAAAAAAGAAGAATAAGAGATAATGGTAGGAACAAATTGTTTACAGCTTTGGATGACTCAAAGGTTCTCCTCGTCCCAGCCGCGGTCAAATCGGACATCTCTGATGATGCCGGATCCATTTTCCCTCCAACGGTTCCCAGGGTGGCCTGGAAGACTCAGGCAGCCCCCCCTCTTCCCCCTCCCCTCTTCGTTTGGGATTTGTTTCCACGAATTTGGCTGAAGAGTGTGGAGAGGCAATCCGCTGGCCCAGCACAATAGCCTTTTGTCCTTCACCCTGTGCGCTCACATCCCTTCTTCCGCCAGCTTTTATCAGCGAGTGAGACTTCCTCAGATAGAGAAATGGCTCTGGAAAGACAGCATCCATGCCAAGGCGGCCTCGTGCGTCCATGATTAGCAAGCGATTCCCACCCTGCCTTCTGCCT